TGAATAACCCCTCTCCCCTTAGAGACTTAATGGCCCTACTCGAACTCATACGCCACTAAAAGATCCAGATAAAACCCAGCCTCGAAAACTGCTCACGTGTTAGTCGTACTGCCACAGTCAACTCTGTCCATATACGATGCTGTTCAGAGGAGGGTTGTCCGGCTTCTCTAACGGAAGGTCTCGGGACTCTTTCACTCCGACGAACGGCTAGAAGCCTGGCTCTCTTTTATCACTAAATCATAGATCTTCTCTACGATGCCACCGCGCGTTGGTACTGCCAGATGGATCTATCAGGCTTCTGCATGCAAGAACTGACTGGTACGACCACTCATTTCTTTCTAGGGTGCCGAGATCGTGTAACAATCTGCCGGTGGATGGTTTTGTCAGTTTTGCTAACTTTAGGCAGTTGAAAAATTAGACTAACAAGGTATTTTTAAGCTCCTTATACTGACTGCGGGGCCTCGGCATTTAGGTTTCTGCCTATGCGGCAATGACAACAAAATGACTGGCCAGACAAGCACTCAAAAATGAACTACTTTGCTTCAAGCTCCTGCATTCATCCACTCACAAAAAATAGGTAACATTACATTCTTTAGTGTGGTTTTATCCGACAGATGGTATTTCACAAACCATTTCGGTACTACTAAATACGGTACTTGTACGGGATATCAACTGTATTTTTTTATCTCAAAAAAGCGTTCTTGATGCACAATGCCATAAAAGCCGCTATAAGTACGGATTATATTATACTTACATTTTAGCTGCCTATTATCCAGCACTCCTTTACAAATTACAGTAACCCTGAATATATTGAAGAAACCTCGAAGTAACCTTTATTCTCTATACCAACTCTACCTGATGCGTATTCAAGAAACGGGTAATTTTTATATTACAGTAATATATGAATGATATGATATACCAAGGGAGCACCAAAAATAAACCGTTCATTGAAGTTCATATTCATAGCCTAGACAAATCGCTGTGGCTATCAGGCAAAAGCAGAAAGTTCCACAATCTTCCCATATTATTACTGTAGGGCTGTGGCCATAACAACATAAATACTCTTAGGATGCAGGTGTCAGGTGGCGGGTGGTAGGAGAGGGGTGATGCCGCTTGCATTAATACTGCTTTGGTTTTAATTTCACAAAAACGCCACAACCGAACCCTACATACCACAGTAACTTCCCAGCTTCTATGAAGACAAATAAGGAAATCTACCACATAGGCATCCAATAGCTCTTCCCACACCCCCTCCCCTCTTCCCTATTATTTCGTCGTGAAGAACTAGAGTTTTCATTACCAAAGAGTCCACAAAAGTTTGGATACAAAACAATCATTCCAACTACAAACCCAGAAACAATGTATCATTTTTATGTTTTTTCTTGCTTTGCGATTAGATTTCGATATCTGTGAAAAAATGTGTGTATGATTTTTGATGCTTTCAGATGGTAATCTTGAACATTATAAACATGTTTTTTAAAGCTTTAACAGTCATTTTCTTTCAAACGTACAGATATACATTAATGTTAATAATGTGATGTGTCATGACATGCATAAACGGAAACGTAACTTCCAGGAAATAAGACTTTCCCAATTTTCTTAGTGAGATCCATGATTAGTTTTTATCACACTTCCTTTAATATTTCTTTAATCACATCACTACAAAAAGAAAGAATTCTTCTTGCAGCAAAAGTGAAATATCCTTCTTTCAGAAAAGCATGGTTAAGCTATATATTTTCAAGTTCACTAACGGGTGAGCAACGCTTTTTGCACTATTCGTCGCAATTCATCATTTCGTGAAGTCTAAAAATATATCCATAAAAGTTTTCACTCTATAAGCTGAAATTATAAAACCATATAAATTTCATAAAAAATGGCATCAATTAAGTTGACTCTGCACTTCCTACGCTACGCCGTCATTAGTTCATAAAGGATTAAGCTCAGCAAAAGTAAGACACTGAGAATAAAATTTGTTAGGAAAATGTACAATAGAGAAATTGAACATATCAGGTCAGTCAAATAGACCCATACAATTAGTCCATAGACATTCTTTCCCTATCTGGGTGTGTGGCTTGACAAAGATCTGAAAATTATTGAACTTATAAGGCGCACCCCTGATAAGGCTAATGCCATCTGACGGAGGCCCCAGTTCTGAGAGGCGCAAGATTCTGGCAGAATTGGAAAACATGATTATGCTGTACGGAGCTTCTATATATAAGAAGGCCATGAGGAAAAGGAAATATAGACAGCTAATATTGAGAATCCAGCAAAAAGTAGTGCTGCGCGTGATACGCGTTTACAGAACGGTGTCGACCGATGCACTGCTGGTGGTAGCTGGTACCCCGCCAATTGATTAGCTGGCTGCGGAGAGATGTGCACTCTATGAAACGGGCGTCGAAGCTACAAGCGGTGCATGGACCAGAGGGCTGATCCCAGATATTAAAACTTGGATCAACAAGGAGGCGGTTGTTTTGACAGCTACCTGAAGAGGGTAGGGAAGAGAGAGTACGCGAATTGCGTATACTGCAATGAAGAGGAGGGTACTCCTAGCCACCTACGCCTATGTGGTAGGTGGGTTGACCATCAGACACAGCTAGAACTGACTCGGCGAGAGGCTCACTGCTGACAATTTTGCCACGCAAATACGCGAGGTAAAATGGGTTGATATTCAACCAATAGTGTGGCGAATGATGCTGAGTAAGGTACTGAAGAACAAGAATAGGCTAAGGAACTGATAGTATATTTTTATTCTGGTCGGTTGTACATGTACATAGGTATACAAGTATAGGGCGAAAACACAGTGGAAGCTGGTTTTCTACTTACCGGCAACCAGCGCCGATCGGTGCCGAATTTCGGCGCTGGTCATAGACACAGTGCTTACGAGAAAAAAAGCAAATAGAATCGGACTGAAGATGAATTTATTGCATTGGACAGCTCAATATAATCACTAGAAAGAAAGTTGGTTTGCACTCCATAAATCGTGAGAGGGGATATTATGGTGAATATCATCATTTGTTCAAGGCGTTGAAAGATGACATAGATCGCTTTTTTCAATACACCAGAATGAATCATATGGGGCATTGTTTGTATACTGATGCGATTAACTTGTCTGTATCCATTATTTACATCAACCTGCTCTGACAACCGGCGAGAAAGAACTGAGTCTTCGTTCCGGCAAAACCGGTAACGCCGACTGCCTGCTTCGACAAGCCTGAGCCTGCCTCTATTGTATTATTGCCAACTCAAGAGCATGTCATTATTACAATAGCTTATAGGCGCTGGTTGCCGGTAATCAGGAAACCGGCTTCCACTGCTTTCTAATACCTTCAGTATAAGAACCTTGCGCAAGAAGAAATTAAATTACCGTGGTAGGATGTCTGACGAACGACTGAGGGGTTTTAGTGTATATGCCACTTGTGGAGAATCTCATACTTCGGGTAGGAAGGGCCGACAGGGCAATACTGTCAAGTTTTTCTGTCTGAGAGTGGCTATAAAAAATTTCCCCTGTCAAAAAATCATTCCCTGCCTCACCGGTAGTTATCGTCCATCTGGCAAAGTTGAGCCTTCCCATGGGGGGATCCGATTTTGGAAAAACTGCTAAGGGAGAGTTCGTGGATCTTTAACGAACCACAATTGATACAAGTTTAATGAACAACAAAAACTGCGGGAGTTGGGCTAAGGAAAAATGAAATTAATTTTGAAGTTCTATGACCTTGTTTAAACCAGAGAAATGCGCAAGTTCTGGGATTTGAATTACTGACCTGTGGAAGTTGTGGGAGAAGTTTAGGAGTTCTAAGTATACCTCAAACGAAGCTCCATTTCTCATCCAGTAGGACGGCAGAACTGTAATCTGCACCATACACTAGGAGCAGCTAGCACTGGATTACCTCCGGTGTATGTACAAATTCAAGTCCCCCGCGTGATAGCAATGTGTCCACAATGTGTCAAGAGCAATCTCAGCAAAGAACAACCCAGATATAAACTTGTTTCGTAAGAATGTTAACTTTGGTCTTAAGGGGAGAAAATATTGTTCTAAGATTTAAGGGCAAATGTGTTGTGTGAAATATGCCTAGGTGCGTAGAATTACCGTGATGTATTAATGTGCTAACATCAAAAATTGCGATGCACCCTCCCTCACCCTCTACAATCCCCTACCTTGCAATTTTTGGCTCCTAATTTTTTTTTTCGAAAATTATCAGTACCCTCTGAAACATCAAAAAACGAAGTTTGAGCGGTTTACATTTTTTTTTTGACTTTTGTCTCCCGCCGCCACTGGACCGAATTTCAAAGACTACAAATCTTTTTTTGTCCTTGACATAGTAACCTTGTGTGTAAATTTCATCAAAATCCGAGCGGTCGTTCTCACGAGAACGGGCCAATTTGGGGGGATTTTTATGCCATTCTGAGAGTTTTTGGGTGGCGTTATTTACTGGGTAGTATTTTTGGGGGCATTTCAATTCACTTTTAACCGTGAAAACTAGCCACTGCAAAACAAAAATGTCAACTTTTATAACTCATGTTATGCCCTATTCAGATGGCATTTATGCCAGGATAAAACAAACAGACACGGGCTCTCGAACGCACCAGTATTGATCAGTAGACCGAGACAGCAAGTCACAATATAACAGAGTAAACATTGCGTAAATACCACTTAAATGGGGTGTAATATAATAATTTGGCTTGATTCTATCGGACGCATCTGGTAATATTCGCAGTACGTATTTTTTGAATTGCTCTCTTTTCGGTCTGCAACTCGCAGCCGACATCCGTCACAAGTATGAATGGATCGTGGCCCGCCACCCGTCGCCTGACACCTTGGAGTGTAACCGCGGCCTTAGGTACATACTCTTGGCACTCCCTACGTATACTACATAGAGCGTTGTAATTTCTGCACAGTAGATTATTTTTTTAAATTTTTAATGTTGAGGGTGTTACTTGCTTAAGTTTTTCCTGCTGTAGGTTGGAAGGGATTTTAATATTTAATGAATTTAAAGTAATGGGTGCAATCATAATACGGTTTAGAATAGTTGACGTCAAGAAGTCTGCTCTGAACTGGTAATACTCTAGATTATTCTTCGTCAACAATAACGGTCTGTAGGAACATGCAGTATGACACCATGGTCTTGACAGTCTGGAAACATAAGTAGTGTGAAAAATATACACAGTGACAAAGAAGATAGATCGCTCAGTAGAAATGATTTTATTGAATGTAATTTTGAATGCAGTTGGACATGAGCAATAGGAAATAGCGATCAAATTTCGAATTAAAAACATTTTCTGTATTGTTGGATTTCTCTAATAATGTGCTAAGCTTCCAGCTAGAGTTGCCATCTCCTAAAATGCAGAAGCCGGACTCGGCACTGTATTTGGCCGGACATTTGGCTCACAATGCCGGACATTATTTTTTTACTAGCGATGACGGATTTAGCTCTTGTGTCAGGGGTCGGAGGACAAAGGATTCATGTTCAGAAAGTTGTTTGTCTCGAGGGGGGAGTTGTTGCGATTGAAAATTGAATTCTTGCAGTGGTACAGTGGTCCATGCTGGTAATAGATGGCGCTTTGCGATGTCTTATTTCAATATACAGGGTGTCCAAGATAAGGATCCCGATACCTGTGGTAGATACACCTTAGATTGAATTAGGAAAAGGCTGCGTTCTTTGGGGCGTATTTACATGCCGTTGAAAATCTTGTAAAAATGTTATAGCTTCCTGAGATATTTGGGAAAAACTAAAATTTGGCCAAATCATATTTATTTTTTTCTGACTTTATTTTAAGAAATGCCAAACAAGTAATGGAACTTTCTACGCACTACGTGGTAATGTTTTTGAATTTTGTGCCCGACGTTTCGCTTCTGAGAAACCATCGTCAACTTTATTTTTTACATGGTCCGAAAAAAAAGTACACCCTGTATCTTTTTCTACGAATTCAACCATGTATCGTATGTTGCATTTGTTTTCTTGCTTATAAAGAAAAATTTGTTTTTTTTTTTGTTTTTTTAAGTAGGCGTCGTAAACAAATGTTGTTTTTACGGAAACGAAATTGGGCTGTGGATTTGGCTAATCCTACATTTTTCCCAATTTGCCTAGTTGATATCTCAGAGTTCTCAGCAACAGCTTGTAAAACTTTCCTCCAAGGATTCCTCATTTCGAGACTTTTGAATGAACCATATTCATTTAAATTTCAAGCCAACGCTAAGGAAATAGACTTACTTGGCTGCCTTCCTTCGGGAAATTTATCAAGATACATTTCTGCAGCATTTTTAGTATTTTTGTAGCACACAATGTAGCATGTCAGCATGCCGAACTTTTCTTCATTGCTAAAATGACCGCCTGCCATCTGTGACGAATATAAAGCAATATTAACAATACACAATAATAACAATACTCGGTGACAGGTAATTATGTCAAGTAAAGCATTCTTTACAGCGCCTACTTAAAATAAAAAAAAATCAGCAAAAAACGCATTTTTTCTCATAACCAAGAAAATAAATGTAACATGTAATACATAGTTGAATTCCTATAAAAAATGCTATCAGATACAGGGTGTGCTTTTTTACTCAAAAACAAACCGTCTTGCATAAAATTTAAAGACACCATTATGTAGTACCTGAAAAGTGCCAATAGAAAAGTTTCATTAGTTGTTTGATATTTATTTTTTTTCAGAAAAAAAAAATAAAACTGATTTGTTTTTCCAAATATCCCAGTAAGCCATGACATTTTTACAAGTTCCGGCATGTAAATACGCACCAAAAACGCAACTTTTTCCTAATTTAACCTCAACTGTATCTCCCACAGGTATTGAGATCCCCATGTATAGGATCCTTATCTTGTATAACCACGTTATTTTTCGATGCAACTTACGTTCATACTTGTAGCCAGATTAATCGTCAAAAATCGCCCAGCTTGTATGCAAACTTCCCTTTGAGCGTTTGTTATAATCATCAATACAGTACGTTTTTCCTCTGGATAGTTGTACCATGCGCTGGAGTATATGCTGCCATATATCTCGTTTACCTGGATAATTGATTCAGAGTCAGAAAATCTCTTTGATTGATACATATTTGGCCCATCAACTAATTGTTCGAATCCGACCGGTTTTATACGGTGATTCGTTGCCATAGCCATGTGTGGAAGCCGGTGTAAACCAGAAAATAGGTAATTTTTTCCTACAATTTTTGCGACAGTATATTTTTTGTATTAGATTATTACTTCATAATGATAAGTTCAAACTGGCGACACGCTAAGGCTGAAGCATTTGCCTATGTAAAATAAGTAATAGAAACAAAATTTTGTAGGGAATTAAATTCATTTCGCTTCTAGAAAAGTTCGCGTCTATAAATCTTTGTTACGAGAAATTTATGGGTAAAGGTACATCAAACGATATTTTCGCTTACATATATTATAATGGCTAAGGGTCGTATTGTCAATCGTTCCTACAATTATTGTAGGACGTCTTTATGGCCTCCTTGATTTTCATAGTTTTCTGCTGTTCGGTGTCAGCGCTCTATTTTGAGGTTATGCCACAAATATCTATTTGCATCAAATTGATTTATATTAGCCTAAAGATTTCTACAATCCAAAAAGAAAACTTAACTTCGCAATAGGAGAGCGCTAACGCTGACACGGAACAGTAGACATCCAGAAATACCCCAGCCTTTCTAAAGAAAAGACTATGAAAATCAAGGAGGCCATAAAGGCGCCCTGCAATTGTAGGAACGATTGACGATGTGGCCCTAAACTAACCATCTCGTATAAATGCAACTATCCTGGTTGAGAACAAAATTTTCTAAAAAAAGGCACTCTACGTTTTATCGAGATCTTGATGGTTCTTGAACAATAAGGAGGGGATCCCTACTAAACACTACTAATATTATAGATGCGAAAGTGTGGATGTTTGACACTCAATCACGCCATAATGGCTCAATGAATCTAGGTGAACTTTTGTACTGAGAGATATAGTCTGGAAAAGTACTTGGATTTTTATCTCCGGAAATAAGTTTGAACTATACAGGCTGTTTCACAACTTATCCGACAAATTTTAATCACATATGCACTGTTACGAAAGAATTTGATTTCTCAAAAAATATATATAATAAAAGTCCTACAGAAATCGAGGTAATAAAATAATACAGTTTAACACTTCATTTACTTATAAAAGCTGTTCAAAATTGTTTCCACTAATTCAAATACACCTCCTTCCTGCTGTGCCTGAAGGCTCAAATTATCGGCAGCCACTGTGATTCGGTCACGAATTTCTTCAGTATTCTGAACTCGAGTACGATATATCTCGTTTTTCAAGTATCCCCATAAAAAGAAGTCAAGATGACTTAGATCGGGAGACCGTGGAGGCCATGCAATTGGTCCACCCCTTCCGATCCAGCGTATCTGGTATGCCTGATTAAAAAAATCGCGAACTTCTAAACGAAAATGCGGAGGTGCCCCATCGTGCAGAAACCACATCCGTGCTCGGACCGCCAATGGCACATCTTCAAATATATGAACGGTCCAGTTGGACGTTCATCGACCATACCTGCCCACACGTTTAAAGAAAAAAGATGTTGGAAGTGTGTCTGGACCACTGCGTGAGGATTCTCCAAGGACCAAACGTGAGTATTATAAAGATTGGTTATCCCATTACGAGTACAAATAGCTGTATCGGTGGCCAAAATATCACGTGTAAAACGGGCATTACGAGCATTTTCTTGTAACCACTCACAAAATCTTACTCTTAGAGGGTAGTCTATAGGTAGCAATGCCTGGACTCTCTGGACGTGATAAGGGTACAGTTGGGCCTCATGTAATATGTGATACTTCTGGGACCTGTTGGGCTTGTGATTATTCCCGGATTTTCTTCCACAATATCCAAAATTACGTCTTCGGCATTTAAAACGCATTGTGGGCGAACCCGACCCCCATGCACTGGGGCGCAAATTTCCAAATGCTTCGATCGCAAATTTTGCCCTGCTTCTCCAAACGCTAAAACAATGTCCACTAACTCCTCATTAGTGTGCACATGTGCCATTTTTATTAACAAATTACTAAAAACATAAGCTGGCAAAATACTTTCTTATTTAACTTCACAAAAATCGACCGTTCTTTATTTAGATCACCCACTATACAGATCAAACCTTATTTACACGTTCTTATCAGTATGAAAAAACAAAAGAATCCTGGTATTTTGTTTTCGTCAGTTGTTTGGTGCAACATTTGCTACAATAAATTATTAATGCGTGTTCTAATATCACGACGATGAACGCAAAATACATATATTTGACATATAAATCCGAACACCCAGTTTAAATGGTTTTATTTTACTAAACGTTGCTGAATGTATTTATCTTACTGTAAATAATATTGTCTTTATTAATCCCTCCACACTGCGAGGCGAAGTTTAGCCATCGCTGCTACTCACTCGGTGACAAAATCCCACAAAGGAAAAACATACAATTTGGAGCTTTAGCGCGTATTTTTTTATTAGTTTCGTTAGTATGTTCTGGTGTGTTTCAGATAAGTCCTTGTGTGAAATATAATTGAAAAAACAGTGAATTGAACAAAAAATAACTGAAAATCGCAGCCTTCCATTGTCTGTTTATAAATGATAACGATCTACATGTTCTTCTTCGAAGTTGAGTCATTTATTTCAACAGTGAGTAGATCTGATCAAAAGAAATGTTTTTTTCCTTTACCATTTTTTTGGTAATATTAAAGTAACAAAGTTATAGCCCTTTGGAAGTTTGAGTACCGCCCTGTCTCAATAATAATATTATGTGCTCGTGTTTGGCGACAACGGATATAATCCGCCGTATCGGTTCATCGCATCGGAAACAAAAAAGCGAAAGAATTGGAACGATGTTTTTACAATTATTTTATTCATTTGTATACAGTCAGTGTCAGTGAATAGTGGTGTCTGTTGCGTGGCTCAAACGAAATAAAAAATGGCACATGTTTATGCGGATCGGTTCCCAATCGAGTGCAACCAACCCCTCTGCCTTTGTTAACGTGAATCAGGTGACGGCATGCCGGTGCTCCAAGACCTCACGATCAAATACAGGTCCGCACTGAAATACTTGTCGGGAGGATACTTTATAAAACAAGGTAAAAATTTTTTTATATTTCTTATTTATTTTTACACACATATTTTGGTTTATCTTCCTTCTACAATCATTATCTGAAAATTAATGACTCAACTTCAAAGTCACCCTGTATATTCAAAATGCTTTTTGCGGATGACTTAAGCTTGCTACTTATGCTTCGGATCCTCAGGAATTAGACCCCCGACAATGGATTCAATCTAAATTTCCGCGTACGGGTTATTGGTATTGGATATAACTTGAGGCAGGACGATTGTCCCTAAATTCTTGGTGTATACGTGGACTCCAAGCTCTCGTTTTGGAGGCAAACTGAACACCTCACCAAAAAAATATTAGTTCATTAATTTGTCATCTGGCAGCTCCGGCAGCATGTCAGTATACAACTATTGAAACTATGTATATTACTTGATACATGTTCATTCTACCCTAAGTTCCAAAAAAAGAATTATTGGGACCATGCTCTACAAGAATTCGAAATATCCTTGTAGAGATCTATTCAAAAAGTTGGGCATAATGACGGTGTACTTATTATATATTTATAAGTGTTTAATCTATGTCAGTTATAGTTATAATCAGTATCATACTAGAAATGATACTCGCATCATTTCAATACATATTGTCATACTCAGTCATAAGTTTGCTTCGATGTCCTAGGATGCTTCAATCATGCCGATAAGATTGTTTAACCACTTACACACATCCTTGAAATCCATCGAGTGCACCAGCGTTCAAACGGGAGATATGCGAATTACTGCTTAAGCATCAATTTTAGACATTTTGATTTTAACGTGTTGTGATGTGAACGTATTAGTGCATAAGACATATAACAAAATTTAAATTGTTAAATTGCCTGTAGTATCTTATGTAGCAATAGTGAAAAAATGTCAGCATAAGTGAAGGTATACTCAATTCAGAGATCTGGATATTTCAGCCGTCAGGTCAATTGCGGCTTTGGTTCTGAATCTTTCGATCGGTTACAGAGTACTGACATTTTCTTCCGTCGACAGATACTCATACTCTTCAAGGGTTTTCCAAGTGAAAAAATTTTCGGCCTTATCAGTTGGACATTCCGGTTTTTATACTGCTTTTTTTTAATTCACTAACGCTCTAAAAATGAATATTCAGCCGCAGTAAAGAAACAACATATTGTGAAGATCGCCGCCTAAGATTATCACTGATCAACAGCAAAAAAATCAACAAAATATTACTATTTTAATGTGCTAAAACCGGAATGAAACTTTTTTTTTCAATATTAGTTCAAGTTTTAGAGATACGGTAATTATATGTGTTCCTGCTGTGACAGTGTTAATATACTGTAATTCACAAGAATGCACGTGCTACATTTTTATATTCGGCAAGGAAAGATGATGTAATCGGCATGATTGTGTTACGTTATACATACGTGTACATTATATTGTTTTATATTAGCCATTTTTTCCTCAGTTGGCTGACAGCGTTCATGCAAGATGTCTCGAAAGTGTGTAAACAATCCAGATCAGTTTTGTTACGTGTGTGGTGATGTGACTTTTGCGTCTCAGAGACGGTCTATTACTCCACTAAAAACAAAGGCATATCAGCTTTATTTCGGTTGTAAACTAAGTGATCAAGACAAACAGTAGGCACCCCACATCTTTTTTTTTTATACTCCAACTACCACGAAGGCCTAAGGCCTAAGCACCCATTGGGTACCGTGGGGCTATAGGGGGATACATGGGAAAGGGGGAACGCCACACGGACTCTGGCGAGGGAACACGTGTGCATGCAACATGCAAACATTCTGGCTCCGCCTACGAGATCGGCCGAGTGGTACCTCCGCGTTCGACAGTCAGAGACCGTCTAACACCTACGGACAATCACAACATCCATAGCCAAGAGCAAAATTTCTCCTGGGACGGGACTCGAACCCGCACAGCGCACGGCGACTGATCAGGAGACCGAAGAGTCTACTACTTCGGCCACCGCTGCTGTAATACATGTGCTTCAAGTCTGAGGAGCTGGTTAAATGGCAAAAACGGCCTATGCGCTTTGCTGTCCCAATGGTTTGGAGAGAGCCTACAAATCATATCAATGATTGTCTAGTTTTGCATGGTACCTTGTGTTGGACAAGCCACAGGTATGTCCAAGAAAAAAAAATCGGTTATTAACTAACCAAACATACCATCTGCGATGAGACTAGTACCTCACAGTGACGAAAATCCTATTCCAAAACCCCCAGAATCCTACACTTGCGAATCAGAAAACGAATCAGATCATGGCGATCGAGTGATTCGTCAGGAAGAAGATATGCCATCAACGTCAAGAGATCCTGATTTTATACCGAGCACGTCATGCCACCAACCGCACAAAATAACACAGTCAGAATTAAATGATCTTGTAAGAGATTTAGAACTTCCAAAATGTAAGGCAGAGTTACTTGGATCAAGACTGCAGCAGCGGAACTTGTTAGAAGACGATGTTTCGGTATGTGTTTTTCGTAAACGCCACAAAGACTTAGAACCATTTTTCAATATGGAGAGTAACTTGGTTTTCTGCAGTAACATTAACGGCTTACTGGCGGCTTTAAATATAAACTATAACCCAGAAGAATGGAGATTGTTTATAGACAGTTCAACATTGAGTTTAAAGGCAGTGTTATTACATATTGGAAATATTTTACCATCTCTTCCTGTAGGGTATGCAGTTCACATGAAAAAATCATATGACAATATGAAGTACCTATTGACATGCATAAAATACGATGAGCACCAATGGCATATTTGTGGCGATTTGAAAGTTGTTGCACTTTTACTTGGGCTGCAGCTAGGCTACACAAAGTTTTGCTGTTTTTTGTGTGAATGGGACAGTCGGGCAAAGGCACTTCATTACACCAGACAAAACTGGTCTGTTCGTCAATTCCTAGAGCCAGGTCAAAAAAATGTACAGCATATGCCATTAGTAGATTCGAAAAAAATTTTATTACCACCACTGCATATCAAGTTGGGCCTAATGAAAAACTTTGTCAAGGCATTAGATAGAGAAGGGTCAGCTTTTCAATACCTGCGTCAGAAATTTCCAAGACTAAGTGAGGCAAGGGTTAAAGAAGGTATTTTTGTTGGGCCACAGATTCGAAATATTTTGAAAGATACACAGTTTGAAAACACTTTAACAGGTATTGAAAAAACTGCTTGGAATGATTTCCGTCTGGTGGTCACTAATTTCTTGGGAAATAGAAAAGCTGACAACTATAAAACTCTTGTCAAAAATATGCTGTCATCGTATCAAAAGATGGGCTGTAATATGTCTCTTAAGATACATTTCCTACACTCACACCTGGATTTTTTTCCTGACAATTGCGGAGCCGTAAGTGATGAGCACGGCGAACGTTTTCATCAGGATATTTCAACAATGGAAAAAAGGTACCAGGGAAAGTGGAATCCTTCCATGCTTGACTAGACTACTGTTGGACTCTTGGTAGAGATGCTCCAGAAACGATCCATAAAAGAACAGCAAAAAGTCAGCGCATATAGTGATTCTTATAAATATATGAATCTTGTTACTTTTTTTAATATATCCTTAAAAATAAAAAGTTTTTTTCTAAACCGCAACTAATTTTTTTATTTCATTGTCATTTTTGGATTGAGCGCCCCAAAATTAACAAAGAAGTGCACTTTTCCCACAAGATACAAATAAAAAACTAAAATTTGTTGTCCAGTGTTATTGGCCTTGAGGGACCGTTTCTCCACTACCAGGTCCATTGCGAATGAATGGTTTGCAGAACACGGAAGACCTATTGAATGAGAAGTTTTGGCTTATTTTCATACCGGCCACACTGGGTCCTCCCTTTAACTCGAGAACACCGACGTAATCGCCTTGAGTGGTGCAGACAACGGTCACTCTGGGATCAGGAATGGAACAGTATTGTCTCTAGTGACGAGTCTCGATTTTGTTTAGGCATGCACGATGGTCGTGCCAGGGTTAGAAGGCGACGTGGTGAAAGGAGGAATCCACAGTTTTTTGTTGAAAGACATGTTCATCACACTGTTGGAGTTATGGTTTGGGGTGCTATAGCTTATGGTTCCAGGTCACCTTTAATCTTCATCAGAGGTAACATGAACGCGCAGCGTTATATCCACGAAGTTCTAGAACCCCATCTTTTACCCTATCTTGACACCCTGGCAGATCCAACTTTCCAACAAGATAATGCCCGACCACATGTTGCAAGAGTCACAATAGACTTCTTTCAACATAATGATGTCACATTGTTACCATGTCCACCAAGATCTCCCGACTTATCCCCAATTGAGCACGTGTGAGATATGATGGGTTGGAGATTGCTCAATTTGCAACGTCCTCCTCAGACTCTAGAAACACTTCGAGAGGAGTTGGTGGTTGCCTGGAATGAGATACCACAGGAGGACATTGAACACCTGATCAGAAGCATGCCTAGGCGCGTTTGAGAATGCGTAGCACATCAGGGTGCATCCACACATTATTAAAGGTCAAAGGGCTTTAAAGCAGTGCAATCATTTTGAAATTTTTATCATTTACTTATTATGCTTCACTAAGTACTTATACAAAATTTTATTAAAATAAAACCATTTAAACTGGGTGTTCGGATTTATATGTCACTTAGTATATATACATGGTGGCGCATCGAAAACGAAACAGACGCATTTACTGGCAGCTCAGATTTTTTTTTTGGAAAAACGCTCAGACCCGTCGATTTTGTTTTCGAGGGGGGCACAAGTTTGGCAAAAAATCACGTTAACATGTGCAGCCCCCTGGGCGGGGGTGACACCAACCCTAAAATCTTAAATGGAAAGGGGGGTCGAGTGATACCTTATTTTAAAGGTCTTTCAATTCCCTTTATAATGATGTCAAATACATGAGCTTCAGTTCAGTAGTTTTGAAGATTTATTGATTTGAAGCTTAAAGTAGACTTTAATAGGTAAATCAGATTAGTTTGTACTACTTTCAGAAAAAAATTAACTAAAAGAATGTACTTAATAAGTAAATGCTTTTCTTCACTACGCCCATGGTTTGTTTATCATTTTGTTGTTAAAAATAGCTATTGGAGCGTTTTTTTGTGGCAAAAAAGTTATTTCTTGAAGAAAGATAAGGAAATATCTCGTACTTATTTTAAATAGGAATTTAGTACAAACTTTGTTGCTAAAATAACTTGTAACGCTTTATTAAATAAATTAACCATGGTATATTCCACAGCAGAAAGAGTTGAAATTATCGAAATATTTTTCGGAAATAATCAGTGCGCTAATAGAACAGCAGAAATATTTAATGACCGACATGAGAACAGTAACGTGCATCGAAAATATGTTCTAGAACTTTTAGCTAAATTTCGGTAAACTGGGTCAGTCGCCAATAAAAAACGCAACATTGAAAATCCCATAAGGAGCGAAGCAATAGAAGTGGGGGTTTTAGGGCAAGTTTATGTATATCCTACGTCAAGTACCCGCAAATTGGAGACTGTGTGTGGTGTTAGTCGACGTACTGTCCAACGGATTCTAAAGGCCCATAGTTTTCATCCATATAAAATTCACCTGGTACAAGAACTTAATGAAGACGATTTTGATCGGCGATTACAATTTTGTGAAGATATGAGTGAACGAATTATAAACGATGAACATTTTCTATTCAACACTTGCTTTTCCGATGAATGTTCCTTTTTTTTAAATGGCGTAGTAAATCGTCATAACTGCCGATATTGGTCCGATTCTAATCCCAAAATGTATCATGAGGTTCATACACAGCAGCCACAAAAATTAAATGTTTGGGCTGGTATTTCTGGCGATCATTTAGTTGGTCCCTTTTTCTTACCTGGAAATTTGACCGGTGAAATGTATTTGGAATTACTGGAAGACGCCATAGATCCTGCGTTAACAGCCATAATTGAAAATCAGAATGATCGGCGGTACATTGCGAATAGGTTGATGTTCCAACAGGATGGTGCACCACATAACGCATTACGTGTTCGACAATATTTAGATCAGACGTTTCCAGATCGATGGATTGGTAGAACAGGTGACATTGAATGGCCCCCAAGATCGCCAGATTTATCACCTTTGGATGTCTTTATGTGGGGTTATTTAAAAAGCAAAATCTATGCTACTCAGCCAACATCATTAGAAGACCTGCGACAAAGAATTGTGAATGAGTGCCTTCAAATGACTCCTCAAATATTGCAAAATGTGCGGCAACGTTTTGAGCAAAATCTTTATTATTGCATGGAGAGTCATGGTGGCCATTTTCAACATTTACTTGTATAACGGGTCAGTACATTCTTTATTTTCAAATTACCTTGCTGCCAAATGTATTGATCTCCAGTAATGATGGTGTATTAGTTTTATTTAAGCTTTAAATCAATAAATCTTCAAAACTACTGAACTGAAGTACATTAGTTTTATATCATTATAAAGCGAATTGAAAGACCTTTAAAATAAGGTATCACTCGACACCCCCTTTCCATTTAAGATTTTGGGGTCACCCCCGCTTAGGGGGCTGCACGTGCTAACGTGATTTTTCGCCAAACTTGTGTCCCCCTCGAAAATAAAATCGACGGGTCTGAGCAATTTTCCAAAAAAAAAACTGAGGTGCCAGTAAATGCGTCTGTTTCGTTTTCGATGCGCCACCCTGTATATTTTTTGATGTATGAATATGATGTTGTTCGTTGTAGAAGACATACTCTACTCTTTGACTACTTCGAATTTGAAATTGTAATTTATATAATTGACTTATTCATATACTTGTTAGTTAGGTATGATGGGACATTAATAAAGTTAAAGTCAATTGTCAGAGAACTTTCCACTCTACCCTCGTACATACCTCTGTTACCATCAGTTCAGCCGGCAGTCCAAATAGAGCAATGAAACCCCATAGAGCCACTGTGGTGTATGAAGCTGCACTTAGCATAACTTCAGCTGATCGACTGAAAATGAAAAATGTTTGATGTAACCTTAATAAAAAATATTATGAAAGCGTGTGATAGTCAAGGTATAAAATGGTGAAAATGTAATGAATAATCAACATCATTTGAATGATGTCGCTTACCTAGTTGAAACTTTATACATTTCAAGGCACAGAGAGAATGTCAAGATTGCCATGTAACCAAGAAGAGGACTTGAAAAGGTTTGGTTTATATCGTTTATGTAGCTAGAACAAAAATAAATAATGAACTACAATTTCTTTGTACGAAGCTTGAGTACTTTTATTTTACACGTGAATTATGACTAATTTCGATGCCATATTATAGTCCAGTAAGTATAGGAATCCGTGATTGTCTAGCCGCTAAATGAAACCACGATTTTTTAATCACTGTTTACCGCAGTTTCAAAGTGGCGTAGCAAGTATCCTAGAATTTGCTGGAAAAAGTATTCTGATCGTTTTTGTTTTGCAAATTCTTGTTGCATTGCTGTGACCTCCAGCTGCACTTCTCTACATAACAACTAAAATCATAGGTTTATAATAAAAATACCCCTAAAGTGCTTTGGGATCTTTTTAACAGTTTGTTGAAAACGCCTATACGAAAAGAAATCGAAGCAATAACTTGCCTTAGTAAAAACCCATGGTGTTTCGCCAACATGTTGACCCTTTGCCTATAAAATATTATATCACGTGGATTTTTGAAGTTGAAGATCTTTTCTAATTCGGCGTTCACGATACGCAGTTGAATTCTGGTTACATTCAGCACAGCCATGACAAGTGAATCAAAACAAACAACTGGTATCCATATTCCAAAAAGTATAACGAAGCTTTGAAATGCCCATAGGCCGTAGAACGGGAACCATTGGGGCCTGTGAAATCAGCATGAATCAATAAATGGCGTCAAGTAGATTGACTCTGTACTTCCCGCGCAACGCTTTATAAAAGATATGTTCGGCATAAGTTTGCGTTAGCCCATTTCAGAAAAAAGTCAACTGCGAACATGTACGAGTATAAGAAATAAAATTGATAGATCAAATCAGTCAAATAGACTTAAACAATGATATCCAACATGCTTTTGAAAATGTCCGTCAGGAATGTGGACATCGCCTATATCATTGTTTAACCAATAACGGGCAAGATTTTGAACACTTATTGAATTAAAAAGTGATATTTTCGTGTGTTTTTGGTTTCTATCTGAACAAACTAAGATAAATAAAGATTTTTCGAATTTTCTTGAAAACAAATTGACTGATTTTGAAAAATCAAACGTCAAAATATAGGACTTCGAAAGACCTTTCAAACAAACTATTACTCGATACCCCTTACCATTTAAATTTTTTGAGGGGAGGACCCTGGGAGGCAGAGGTTGAAAAGGGGTGAAGTAGTTTTTGGTTAAAAAGTTGTCCCCCTTGACAAATCTTTTGATGTGTCTCGACGTTTTTCCATTTAATCAGTGGTTTTCGATAAATCCGTGGTGGGAAGTTTTCAAATGAACAACCCTGTATGCACGAACCACACCCGAAATCAACAACTCGCTGCAGCGCCAGTTTCCAAATGGACAGCAACTACCGGAAGGGTATGGAAAGAATGTCTGAGACAGGTAACTGATGTGTGAATCTTAAGCTATGTACAGATATGTAACAACGCCGCGGACCGAACCACCCGACGAACCGCAGCGCGGGTATTTTGACGAACAACATTGCAACGAGCATCACCACAAACCGAACCACGTCATGCAACCACATCGCGCAACAAAATCACGATCCAATTTTGATGTTTGTCGTTCAGTGAAAGACATCATTTTTTTTTTAATTTATTGTATTTCAGGGTATGTTTTGCATCCCACAACAATGCCCCTGCTCTGTAATGCTCTACAAGCAAAAGAGCAAACAGTCAAGACACGGTAAGTACATTCAATAAAATAACTATTACTTATTACTTGTCATACAATATTTTATTTGTTTCTTAAATTCACAAAATATTCAGTGAAATTATCTCTAATCTTAGTCGCACTAATCGGTGATCGACGAGCAATATGTGGTACACATCGAATAGCACAGTTTTGAGGTACTTCTTGCCTCCAAGCCCCTTCAATAAAAACGCCGTTATCATATTTATCAAGAGTGCCCGACGGGTTATAAATGTTTTTTGAACTAGAACTTTTCATAAGAAAATTGTGTAGAAGTACACATGTCATTGTTAACTGCGTCACTTTTTCGGGCATCAATTCGTTTGGCTTTTTGAAAAATCGGAATCTGGAAGTTAATATTCCAAAAGTATTTTCAGACAATACACGAGACCTTGACAATGTTTCATTGAAAATACGTTTGGGAGTATTCAATTTATGATCGAAAGGATATGGCTTCATTAAGTTCTCGCTTAATGCAAAAGCACCATCTCCCAAGAAAACATATGGTAAATCGACGTTTAATCCGGGTAAGGGGCAAGGTGGAGGAAAATTCATCTTATTTTCACAAATATTTTTCCATAACACACTATTTCTAAGTATGCCGCCATCACTGATTCTTCCTTGGCTTCCAATGTCACAAAATATAAATCGATATTTACTGTCTACTACAGCTAGAAGAACAATACTAAAGGTTCTTTTGTAATTGTAATATTCTGATCCAGTGTGATCAGGACATTTGATTACAACATGTTTTCCGTCGATTGCTCCAATGGCGTGGGGAAAATTATCTCTAAATCCTTTTTCAATTTCTATCCACTCATCTGTAGTTGACGGCATCTGCAAAAAGATAAGAAATTACATTTATTGTTAATATTGTTAATATGTAATAAAATGTATTTATTTTTCAGATTTCTCTTGATAACGAAATCCTCGAGCCCACATCTCAAAAATCAGAATCAGAAATCAATGAAGTAGTGAATGTTGTCCTATCCTATCAGCCAAGCACTGTATATGACCTTTGGAGGAAAAACAGACACCAAGTCGAAAACTACTCATTTCAACATGTAGATGTAAACATTTTATAATAAAACTGTAGCTCTATAAATGCAAATGAATCTATTTACCTTAATTTCATCTTTCAAAGCCTCATTCAGTGCTGCACAGACCTCCGGAACAATCCGCGATATTATTTCACTTCAAACTTTAAATAAATAATGTAGGCTCTTGAAACTGTCGCCTGTGGCTAAATATCTCAAAGTAATTGCTAACCGTATTTTTGGAGTTATTGCCTGTCTCATTGAAGTATCTTTTTTGGAAATCATTGGTGAAACTATATTTAAAAGATACTCAAAATCAGCTAGAGACATTCGAGTAAAATTTTCAAATTCACCACCAGGTTCCATTAACAATTCGCTCAACTGTCTGTCCAGTGTCCATGTGTTCCCTATACGAAAATAAAAAATCAAATCAAACACAAAACACTTTATAAAATCTAATCAAATTACGTAATAATGTCAGTATATACCTACCTCGTTCTATTTCCATTGATTGATTTCAGCCACCATCTTCTTTTCTTCCAAGGCTTCTTGATTTTTGAAGTTGATATAATATGCAAATATTTATAGTAACAATAAGCAGCATAGGCTACAGCTACACAAATTTCCACGTTCTTGGCCATCACTCGCACGAATCTACACAAGGAGCCGGTTCGATGTTTACTGCGAGAGTATACACGGTGTCCTCGGGTCTCGTGCCTCGGGGCGCCTCGCATCGGGGAGTCTCGCATTCAGATGGCTTCGACGAGCGTGTACTGCCAGCATAACGCTTATCAGGTTCGCGACGGCATTTTTTCCACCGTCTACACTAGCTCGGAGCGGTTCGTCGTGTGGTTCGGTTCGCGGTGTTGTTACATATGTATCTGTACATAGCTTAAGATATCACCCAAGCTTTTAGAATGTTCTACTATGGGGATGGGTTCGTTATTTATAATCAATACAATGGCGTCCTTTATGTTATTATACATGCATTTAGGAGAAAAAAGCATACCTGAACTCTTTTCAGGATTGGTCCAAAAAACATAATATCTCATTTTGTTGCTATTACCATACGTGCTCACCAGTGACGAGGGAAGTTAAAGCAGTCAAGTAGATTGACTAAGCTCTTCCCACACTCTGATATAACAATACATTACATATCTAGGTTAATAAGTGACCAATTATATTGGTCGAACACTGTCATATTCTGAATCGTACTGGGTTATAATGTGCGAAGACAATAATGGCTTTCTCTACCGAGGTACACGTGACACTTTTAGAGTATATGGATTTGAGAAAATGATATTTATCTTTGCAAAAAGCAGTGACGTGCAATATATCATTATAAAGTTTAAATATTGTGTATTTTTTAAACGGTAGATTCAATATTTTCTAGCATACAGCGTGAGGGACCACTAAAATTAAGCAGTGTATTTATAATTTTTACCTATAACAAATAAACAAAGGCACATCTTCTTCCACCAAAAAAGTTTTTGTCATAAATATCATCATATTCACTGTACACATTACTGACATCGCAGTGAATGTTTTTTTAGTATATTTCTGAGCTGACTTGCAAAAATGAATGTCGTTTGCAGACAAGTCGAACTTTTCCGTAACGAAGAATCTTTTTTCCATTTTATTCAATAGATCAGCTAGTTTGGATCGTTGCAAGATAAGGGAGGTTGATCTGTGTATTCCCTAGAAATGAGTTCAATTAATATATTTCTAGGAAATAGAAATTAAAACGAAGAAGCTCACGAAAAAACAGTTGTAGTGATATTGCGTTATTAATTGAGGTTTTATTACTTCTTCGGGCGGAGATTTTTAATTTGTTTTCTTCTCTTATTTATCAACTGCAGTATCTAAATGAAAATGAAACTAAAATACGCATATAGTGATGCATCCGCTTTGCGCGGAGCCACCTACTTTGAGATTATCTTGTTTTATATTAAGACTATCGATTCAATCCATCTGTCTTGTATGACTCTAGGAAAGATCATTAAACATACTTTACATGTCTTGTCTATGTTGTACTTTGAAAAGGTTAGCGTCTTATAGATGGCGCTGTAGCCAACTATATGCTCATATGTCATAGATGTTCTTGCGAATTTCAAGTTTGCACGAGACTTTGAACTTGATTATTAAAACAAGTCGACCACAGAATTTTACATCAACTAATGACAACCATTCACGATTTGATTCATAGTAACTATTCGAGACATCGAAATCAGGTAGAAATTTTAGGGCAAACCATTTTCGTAAAACGTATCTCCCATACGTAATCACTACACACGCTTAACACCAATGGTTCAAAAACTTACGTGTATAACCATAGACGACGCAGAAAAAGCTTCAGTCAATTCAAGCGTAGTTACATTCTCCTTGAAGTACAAATCCAAGAATACTAGATAGATTGTAATCCAAAGACTGAAGCTGATTATAAGGAACCAAATAAATTGTAGCTTGCTGTCATTTTTGAATGGATGCAAACCACCATAATTCAGTATTTTGAGACAAAGCTCAATGGTATAAAAGTACATCGTATTCTGGTTCTGTAAAAAAGTTATACCGGTTTGCCTAATAAAAAAAGGTTCGTTACCGACAATGGGACCACATCAGAAAAGTGGATTCAAAATAACTACTCTCAGAATCTATCAATGCGAAAGCGTATAGAGACTTTTAGAACTGTGAAGATTTCAGTTCACGTTTGATAGTCCAGTCACCAGTGTGACCGCTAGAGCCTGAATATAGAGGAAAGTAGCTATGCGTTGTCCCAAAGACCAAGCATAAACCATGCTGATAAGTTGCAAAAAGGCACGAAACAGTTGTTCATGGTTAACCGTCTTTGATCGGGCGGACGGAATCAGCACGTTTAGTTGTTCAATGGTCAGTCTCTAGCGGTCGCAGTGGCCACTGGGCTAGCAAACGTGAACTGAGATCTTTACAGTTCCTACCGATAGTTGCTATACAGGGTTTGTCCGGAAAGTAATAGGACTCATTTTCTTCCGCCATAACTGTACTTCGGAGCGTGCGCGCACCGACTGGGTTCGGTAGAGGGCGTTCCTAGCTAACGAATGAGCGGCTGGTCAGTTGTCTCCGAGCACTTGGAGAGTCAGGACAGGCATTTTCGCGCGACGTGTTTCTGTGAGTGGTGCAAGCCGAAAATGCAGCAGTTCGTTAGAGCAGAGGTTCGCGATTAAATTCTGTCTGAAACTCGGTCAATCTGCGACAGAGACGTTTGATATGATCAAGCAGGCTTACCCAGGTGTTGCTTTAGCAAGAAGTGGTGTGTTTCGGTGGCACCAGGCCATTTTGAAGGGCCGGGAAGAGGTCGCTGATGAAGACCGCGCTGGAAGACCTTCGACTTCGACAAACACCGATAATGTGACTCGTGTTCGCAAAGTTTTGAACTCAGACCGTCGACTAAGTATTTGTTTAATTTCCCAGATGTTGAATTTTCCAAAATCTGTGGTTCATGACATTGTGACACAGCATTTGAACATGCGCAAGGTGTGCGCGAAGATGGTCCCAAAAGTGCTCACTGACGACCAGAAATTGCGGTGAGTGGAAACGTGCCAAGAAAATTTGAACATGTGTGAAAGTGACCCCCAAAATCACAGGTGACGAGTCGTGGATCTTTGAGTATGATCCCGAGACACAGAGGCAATCTTCCGAGTGGCACACGACGGCGTCTCCTCGCCCAAAAAAGGGAGGAATGAGCAAATCCAAAGTGAAAACGATGCTCATTGTCTTTTTTGACATCAAAGGCATCGTCCACCATGAATTTGTTCCTCCTGGACAAACCGTCAACGCCAAGTTTTACGTGGAAGTGCTCAGGAGACTCAAACGAAGGGTCAGTCGGGTCCGACAAGACATCGCAGCCGACTGGAAGTTGCACCACGACAACGCCCCGGCTCACACCGCCTTTCTTGTGAAAACTACCTGACCAAGGCCGGAATCCCAATGCGTCCGCAGCCGCCCTACAGCCCAGATGTGCCCCCCCTGACTTTTTTTGTTTCCTCCCCTAAAAAGGCCGATGAAAGTCAAGCATTTTGAGACGACACAGGGGATCCAAGCAGCATGCACCGCGGCTTTCAAGGCTATTCCGGAGAATGCCTTCCGTGACGCCTTCGACGCAGAAGGAGCCTATTTTGAAAGTTTTTAAAGAATTGTAACGATTGGCTCAATAAATTTTTTTAAATCGACTCAGTCCTATTACTTTCCAGACAAATCCTGTACACCCTCGCAGTGGTCGATTCTGCTAATAGAAGACGCTTTGTGTTGTTTTCTTACACTGGGTGGCCAAGATAAGGATCCTATGCATGGGGATCTTAATACCTGCGGGAGATACAACTTAGGTTAAATTAGGAAAAATGTGTGTTCCTTGGGGCGTATTTACTCGCCGTTGAGAAAATTGTAAAATTTCAGGGCTTAATGAGATGTTTGGGAGAAACTAAAGTTTGGTCACATCTTTTTATTCTTTTCTACTTTATTTTAAGAAATATCACTAAGCTGATGGAGCTTTTTTATTTGCACTTTTTAGGTACTACGTGATGGTGTTTTTAAGCTTTGTTCCCGACGGTTCGTTTTAGAGAAACTACGGTATCAAAAGCTTTATTTTTTATATGATCCAAAAAAAGTACACCCTGTATCTAATAGCATTTTTTTACTCGAATTGAACGATGTATCATATTTAGGTATGTTACATTTATTTTCTTGGACTTGGTTATAAGGTAACATTCTTTATTTTTTTTCAAGTAGTGCAGGCGTTGCAAACAAATGTTTGACTTGACGCAAATACCTGTCACGGAGTATTGTTATTATTATATTATTTTAACGTATAACGAATAACGTAAATAAAGTTTTGCCACTAAATTCATTGGCTTTAATTTTAACAAACACAAAATAATATCCAGTTGCATTTGAAAACAAAAGTTTGTTTACTTACTTTACTCTCAGTTGACATTCATTTATTTTGAAGTTTTCGCTTTAAGAGATACCCAAAACTGAGAGAAATTGAGCTGAATCCGTCGAGGACCTTTGAGATAAGAAGAAAGTTGCGTCTGGTAAAGCAGAATGGGCAACTCTACATAATTCGATAGTATAGTTTAGTTAGGTATTGAGTTGTGATTTATGATAACTAGTTAGTGTTTAAATAATTTTTTCATTAAAAAATAATCCGACAAATATTTTGTGCAAAAACTTTTAGGACATACGCTAGTGTTTTACGAGCAGTTGCTGAGAACTCCGAGATATCATCTGGGCAATTTGAGAAAAATGTAGAAGTAGCCAAATCCACACTCCAAGTCCTTTTGCATAAAAATATATAACACTCCTATAAGTTCAGGATTTGCCAAGGACTTAGACCAGGGGATAGCGAACGGCACCAGCATTTTTGTGAATGGTACACACTTTATATGACATATGTGGTGTGGTATTCTAGGGGCCAAAATATTAGGACCATTTGTTTCCCACAACTCATTAACTGCAGAACGGTACCTTCAATTGTTGCAACATTATCGAGAATTTACCTTTGGCACAGCTTAATAGCTGTTGGTTTCAACCAGATGGTGCTCCTGCACATAACTCTAAGCAAGCTCGGGTGTATCTTTCTCAGCGATTTCGCGGAAGATGGATTGGTACCTTCAGTGAAGCGTCCCGGATTTTGCTCCTCTGGTCTTTTGTGTTTGGGGTTTTATTAAAAACCAAGTTTATCAGCATACTTTCGAAATTGGGCCGAAGTAACGAAAATGTGTAATGGAAGCATTTAGTATGATTAGACCAGAAATGTTACAAGATGTTTTGAGATCTACTGTTATAAGAGCATATTTATCTTTAATAAATACTGGCAAGTATTGTCAACAGAACAAAAATAGTGTTAAAATTATTCTTTATTCTAAATATCACTAGATAAAGCATCATTTTATAACATTGTACTTACCTAACATTATGTAATATGTAATATGCATCTATCAGTAAAATCACATAATCTCACATCAGGCATTTTCTTTATAAGAAAACAAATATAACATGTGATACATCGTTGAATTCGTAGAAGATGCAGGGTGTACTTCGGACCATATAAAAAAATAAAGTTGATAATGGTTTCACAAAAACGAAACGTCGGGCACACAATTTAAAAACTACCATCATATGAAGTGCCTAAAAAAAGTGCCAATAGAAAAGCTGTATTAGTGTTTTGATATCCTTTAAAATAAAGTCAGAAAAAAACGATTTGGTCAAATTTTAGTTTTTCCCAAACATCACAGTAAGCCATGAAATTTTTACAAGTTTCTCAACGGCATGTAAATACGACCCAAAGAATGTAGCTTAATCCTCATTTAACCTGAGCTATATCTCCCACAGGTATTGATAAATGTGACATTATATCGATTTTCTTGACATTATTTGGGTATTCCTATAATATGTCATCTTTGAACTAGCTAACATTCACTTCATGCACAATTGTAGCAGGCCTGGATTGAACTAGCGGCACACTATTATAGCGGCTACCAAGTGCACAAGTTGACATTTTACCGATTCCTTTACATTATAGAGATATTTTACGCAATCACTCTGCGGGGTAAGTTCTTAAGTGAAAATATCATATTTACCTCTATCTGACTGAATTACATGGGACTCCGAACAAAAATATTACCGATATTATGATTAAACTAGACTTATGTCATTGGAGGTGAATCAAACACCCTTTTTCCACTGTTGATAGATTCCTGGATTTCTCTCTTTTTATATGTTATAGTCCAGTGGTTTCTAATAATTGTCGTGTCAACATGAGGGTATGGATATACTTGCAATTTTTTTCTAGATATCGCTGTGTTTGGGGATATATTATTCATAATCCCACTATTTGCTTTGCACGTATGGTTCATTCATTTTTTACAATAGAACAAAGGAAATTTACATTATATTGAACCGATCATTTGACTTAAAAAAACAAAATGTTTCAGAGTGATGGAATGGAGGTCAACTGTTGGATCTTCAACACAGGAAGCGATAGTGGAAAATATTAGTACAAAAGTGTTCGTATAATCACTTTATTTTATAGATGTACCTTAGAAGAGTAAATTACTTATATTTCACAGCAATCTTAGTTAAAAGTCTGTCATCCACACCGCGTCCTTTCTCTCTAAAGCGCGACACTTGAAGAGGGGGATACCAGACGACAGCTCGTTTTGCCACTACCCATACCAGTGTCGCCAGGTGAGCCACGATATTTCGGTAGAATTGTGTGGATTTTTCGGTAGTTCGGTAAATTGATAGCGGAGAATAAATGAAGGATTTACTAAAAACAATTTATTTAACTCAAAATAAACAGAAAGACAAAACAAAATAAACAGTTTATATCTCGCTTCAGCTAACTAAAAATAAAATATTCTTAATAAAAAACAGAAAAAGTGATAAAATAAAAAATGTGTAAGCTATATTGGATAATCAGTCTTCGGATTCATTTTTGTATAAGTTTTATCAGTCATATTATCTCCTAATTTTGCTTCGCCAAATGGTCCATCAGCAGGAATGGCAAAAATGCGCTCAAACGAATTTCTCCTGGAAATAATAAAATAATCTATATAATTTAAAATCTTCTCGAATAGATTAATTAATTTTACCTTCTTTAATATCATTTTCTAATTTCTTTGATGCACCTGCAACTGCATATGAAAACAGTTTTTGGCTGTTTTGCTATGGTTTGCACTTTTTTATGAAATTGCCCATTCGCATATTTTATAAGTGCATCTCTTCCACTTGTGATATTAATATCTTTATCACAGACCATGCATTTCGCATAATCGCACCCTTTATCGTTTGTTTTTTAAGCCAGCCTTAGGAATCTGACAATTCTTCCCAGTCTGCCTTATAATACTATTCGTCATTTTCTGTCAGAGCGGTCCGTAGGACCTTTGCTCTTGGTTGAAGTCTTGTAAGTCAGTAGGTCTGTCAGGTCTGGTTGCCGAGATACCAAACAAAGTCAGGGAGAAAGAAGGGAAGAAGAAAGGAAGGAAGGAGGGAAAGCAAAGAAAAAAGAAGTGCATCAATTTGAGGGGTGCCTTGGCACTGCTAGTTAGTATTCGGCAATTTTAAATTGATTCTAAAATTAATTTTGGGATTGGTTGTTGAAGAAAAATTATAATTTTGGTTGGACATAAAGTCGCACGATTTAATTTTGTTCACAGAGCGAGTCGCGGCCTTGTGTGCTTTCGAACTTGCTCGACTGTGTAGTCTACTGACTCGCGCAACAAAGGGTTGTTATGCGATTCTGCTTGACTGTAACGTAGCTGCGCTTGTTGTTTGATGTAGTTCCTTAGGTAAGGGATGTCAAGGTCTCTGTGAAGGGTCTCGTTGGAAACATACCAAGGGGCGTTAGTGATTGTACGCAAGGTTCTGTTCTGCAAAACCTGAAGGCTACGCAAATGCGTTTTGGCGAGAAAACACCAAGCCGCACTTGCGTAAGTGATCGCTGGTCTAATAACCATCTTGTATAGCCGAACTTTGTTGATCAAACTTAATTTTGATGTTCTACATAGCATAGGGTAAAGTTGCCGAAACGAGATTTGGAATTTAGTTTTTAACGCTTCAGTGTGCTTCTGCCAGGGTTATCCCCTCGTCAAGAGTGACACCGAGATACTTAGCAGAGCTTTCCCATGGTACCCGAGCTCCATTCACTGAAACCTCAGACTTGGCGCCGCTACGTTTTTTAGTACAATAGATTGCCTGCGTTTTCGAATGATTAATTTTGATCAGCCACCGATTCGCCCATTCCAATACCTCGTCCACTGCACTTTGCAGCCTGTCGTGAACTAGATTCCCAGAGCATGACTGGGTCACCAGGGCAGTATCATCAGCATAGAGATAGGTTTCACAGCTGCTGGGGTAAGGGACGTCATGAATAAAAAGTGAATAAAGGACTGGTCCAAGAACCGAACCCTGAGGGACACCGGCTTTGATGGGCCGTGTTGTTGACAGAACGTTATTAATTTTGATCCGAAATTTCCTACCCTCTAGAAAGGATTTCAAAAGTTTTAGGAGCCAGAAGGGGAAGCCCTTATGGATCAATTTGTAGAGAAGGCCCTTGTGCCACACCTTGTCAAATGCCTTTGAGACATCCAGTAGCAAGATGCCAGTACTTTCGTTACGGGTGAACCCCCTGGTTACTCGTTCAACAAGCCTTATGGCCTGTAGCTCCGTACTATGCTCAGACCGAAAGCCAAATTGCACGTCAGGAATCACATTGTGGTCTGCCGAGAAATTTTCAAGGTGACGTAGAATCACCTTTTCAGCGAGCTTAGAAGGAGCTGACAGTAGACTAATGGGGCGGTAATCCTGGGGGAATATCGAACCCACCTTCTTTGGAATCATTATGACATCAGCGGTCTTCCACGCCGTTGGGAAGTGCTGGGTCCTTAGCATGGCATTGATTATTGCCACGAGATAAGTTAAGGACTTCCGCGAAAGTAGCTTCAGCGCCTTATTAGTGATTCGATCCTCTCCAGGTGCTTTACGCACCTTGAGGTCTTTAATATGACCTTGGAGCTCTGCTGGTGTGCAATGCGGAGTCTCAGGAGATTCCGCAGATGTGCCGTGCAGCTCTTCAATTGAGGAATCTTCTGAAGATTCCTCTGAGGAAAACCACTAAGGGAGGCACTACTGCCACTGACGCCGTTGACCCTAAAATATCTCCTGACGGATCTTACAATATGTTGCTCCTCGACGAGGTCATTATCAAGGTCATAGTTGGGAGGCCTTATAATGTTGGGCATACTTCATTTTTTTCTGGCTGCTACCCTACCCTTACCACTACTGTCACTATTAGCTATTTCTTGATTCAATATTGAAACGCACGCGAAAAAAAAATGCAACACATTTAATACTATTACTGGCCGAATTCGGAATTACTGAGAACACAAAAACATACAAATCGTATAATACAGGCATGGACTTGTCACGAGCCGCTGGGCCTAGGCTGTGATTCCCTAGATGCGAAGAATCAGCGTATGTGGCACATCAATGTCAGACAAACAGAATAAAAATATATCTGGTCTAGTACGAATAATAATAGTACTTTTGTGATTCTTTTTATCGCTATGCATCAGAAATGTTTCTCTGATGTACGGAACAAAAATTATTCAATTGAAAGAAAGTTCACTTTTCAGTAGATTTTGCTTTATAATCGGTAGTTTGGTATACTACGGCCAAAATCGGTAGATCTACCGTAAAATCGGTAGACCTGGTAACACTGACCCATACAATGCCGATTCTTGGGCACAGATGAAGAACCCTATTTCACATCTGCAGACAGGGGGTTAAACTTCTTATGAACGAACGGGCAACGCCAAGGTCATCCTCTCCAGGCAAAATCAAGGAAACTGCATTACCGGGCATGGAGTCACGTGATGCTTGATAATATAATCAAATAATTATGGCCTCTTTGTTTTGATAACATCCAGATTCTTAACACTGATGCTTTTGGAGACATTTAGATAAAAATGAGTATAAAATATAAAGCACTATCAGTAGCTGTGTTTTTGATGGTACACGTGAAATGTATTACGACTATCGTGGGAGATGTAGAAGTTCAAGAGACTCTGTCATAAAGTGGTGGTCGGCTGAGAACTTAACACATCGGCGTAATGTAGGTCGTAGATTATTTAAAATTACATCCAATACTTATATCTGGAATCAGCCTCTTTCTAATCCTTGTAGTAGACACCGTTATATAAAGTATGAAGGCTTTTTATATTAAGACCAATATTTAAATGTCGCATGGTAATATTGTCAGAGTACATCAGTCTTGTCGTAAGTTTTATAAAGCACAATTCTGCCCATCTAAGCCAAGAAGGCACAGTACTGAGCAAACTAATTAAAGGTGCTTATTTACGAAGATTTTATAAATTTCATTAACGTTTTCTGTATTGTTTCAGAATTATCAAGAAGCAATCAATGAAGTGAGGCTCCTGTGACTTGCAACACAACACAAGATGAATTTGAGATAAATCTATTTATATTTTCATGTAATACAATTTCTATACGATTGTCAAAAAATATGTTTAAGAGCAAGTGATTATTTGTTGAAAATAAATATATTTTGTCCATGATGACTGGTATTAGATTTTATTATTCTGAAACTTCACCCCGCAAAACTGCTGAAAGAGATATTACCTTTAATGTAGATATTTTATAAATATAAGCTCATGAAGTATTCCTTTAATATCGTAAATATCATTTACAGCAGATTTAAAATTATGAACAAACGGTATCTACGGCATTCCTTATTCCATGCGTATTCTCGATATTAGTTCGATAGTTCCTACAGATCTCCAGGCAAGTAGACGGCGACGCATAAGTTACATTTATTCGCCTGAGTTACTTGCTCAGTCACTATCAGAACTGCTATTACTCGGATGATAGTGTCTATCCTTCACACTGTCATCTGGACTAAATCCAGAATATCTTTTTTCTCTTTATCATTGAAACATCTATTGTTTTCACGATCGCCTAATTCCCGTTTATCGCCCATCTTGGAATTTGAGTCGTTTATAACTTTTTGGGTATATATAAAACGTGTTGGATATCGAGGTTCATAAAAAATTAACTTCAGATATAGATACCTACGCCACGGAGGCTTTTAGATGGAAATTTTTTCTGCTCAAATGTGGCTTATTTACCTTATATAGCCCTTCAATTTTTGAACGAATTTTAAAGATTGTTTTGTTTTTCGCTCCTATTATTCTGTACTCCCGAGAGACACGTGCGTGGTCCATAGCACGTAAATAATACTTGGCGACCTCAAAAATTTTTAACCGAGGTTTTAAGCATTCAAAATGGATATGTTTAAGGTTTTTCGCTGTTAACTAGGAAACGGCCAGCTTTAGGGTCGTATCGTGAATCGAAGCATGAACAATTTGATGCAAATGGCAATTTATAACATAACCTCAAAATAGAGCGGTGACACGGAACTGTATAAAAGTCAAGAAGGTCATAAAGGAGTCCTACAATTGTAGGAACGACTGCTGATACGGCCCTTAGAGAAGGATTATTAAGAACACTTTTGTTAAAAAAAAAACAGAAAAAATATCCGGATAAAAAACAATTTTTGTAATTTATTAAAGAAAATTATTTAAGCTGATTTGCACCGGGTTATTGCCGGCAACTTGTTCATTCGTGTCAAGTGATCATGGAAAAAATATAACCGAGGAATGTCTCCCACGAATAAGTTTTTGCCTCGCATGAAACAGAAAAATATAGTCGTACTTAATACACGATGTCCCATGGCAGCACCATCTCGTTGTACTCACTCATGGAATTTGTTTATCGCGTGTTGTATACTGTGCCTGAATGCATTCAATTTTGCAAACTTAATGACAGGTGTTTTATTGGCAGTCAGCGACATTCCTTCTAGTGTTCATACTTCACAACAAATATTTCCTGGTAATCAGGCGTAGGAGTGATTTCATGAATAGCATTTTTGGATATCATACGCCTTGAGCTTAAGAATAAAAAACAAAAACAGTGTTATAAAACGTATATTTATCAAAAAATTACATCATTTCGAAACGTTTGATTTAACTTTACGATTTATTTTCTTTGCTAACTTCACTTTAAAACCAGGTTTCTCCCCTTTTACCTTATCGACTTCAACACCATTGCTTTGCCCTACTCTACTAAGCCTCTTTTTCTTTTTATACTTCTTTTGTGGCACATTTATTTCGTCTCTCAACTCATGTTCTTTATTTTCACCAGTTTCATACTCAACAGCCTTTTCAAATGGGTCACCTTTGAAAATGTCATCAAAAGGCTTCTCCGTGTAAGCGTCAACTGGTCTAGTAGCCTCAGCATGTGCTTTCTGTTGGACCCTGTGAATGTACTTGTCTCTAGCTGCTAGTCTTATTTGCCGGCGATATTTTGAGGGACTGATATACAGGGGGTTTTCCCACAGGGCTACACCACCAAAAGCTCCCGAGAAAATTTTTACCTGAAAGTAATGTACCTTTTAAACCAGGTTTCTATAATAGTCTAGGATAATTTGGGACCGACTGAAGCTTCGACATCGGTTTTTTATATACCGAAACTGCTGCGTAGACAAAAGCCTAAATACCGACGCACAGCGGCTACTATAAGGGTTTAAAGACATCCCATTTTTGAACTGCCTGAGAACTTCGTAGAACTGGGACAAGCTTCCTCAGGTAGATTGGTCTGCAATTTATACACACTACGGTCAAAGGAGAAGATAGCCAGATCGACCCGTAGGTGCAAAAGTGTTCCGAGACTGTCCGTTAGAATAGAATCATCGATCAGTCGGAGGACAGCCTTGTACTGGATTGTTGCTTCTCCAAGCAGTGACAACCTCCAGAGCTCTCGTCAGAAAGGAAGTCGTTGCTACTCTTCTTCTATCCAGTTCACTGGAAGAAATCAGCTTGGCACTCTGAATTCCAGCATGTAGAATGCTGTCATCAGCAAAGCTGTGGATAGAATTGATCGTTCAGGAAAAAAGGAAAGATCGATACCAGGGGGCACCCGCGTTGACCTTGTGATATATTGCGGCCAGAGAGGAAGTCAGCCACGGCTGATCGAAAGCTTTCGTGATATCAAAAGCAATGACATGAGCCTCACCATATGACAGGATCAGTTTAATGCACAGTTGCGTTTATAGTTGCTCAGCTTTCGTTCATCGTCCTACTTGACACCAAGCTTGGACCATGCTGATGAGTTGCCAAAATGCACAAAACGGCTGTGCATGGTTGGTCATCTGTGGTCGGACAGACGAAAGTTATACAGGGTGTATTCAAAGTTGAGTCATTTATTTTAACAGCTTTTATAGAACATGTCGAAAGAAATTTATATACCAAAAATCACCTAAATAAAAGTTGCATAATAAGAGAGTTAGTTTCAATTATTGAAAATTATTTAAAAAAAAAATCATTATCAAGTTAAATTGATACCGTTTTTAAAAAAACTGTTCAAAATTGTCCCTGTAATTAATATAATACCATTGAGTAACATATTCCACCTGAAGATACCCAATCCAGTTGAAAGCCATACCTGCATGGCACCACCAACCACTTACACAACAAATGTGAACTATACCCCATTCATAGTCGATTTACTCCCAGACAAAACACAACATGCCCAAAAGCGAGACTGTACAGGTCCGTATAAATGTTCATTTTCATAGAAAGAAGTACCCATACGCTTCACAATTCTTTATTTGCTGAAAATACTTGAATCATGGTCCGAATGGTAAACATTAATTATTACCGGTTCAATTTGAGTATCGATCATATTGTCCAGATCCCACATCTTTGTTTCGATTGTCTCTTGAACGTGACAGATGCAATATTTCCAATGGTTTGCCGTCACTCTGTTGACAGCTTCATAAAACCAATTTTTCACGTCAGAAAATTTGAATGTTCTGATGTTTGAAGCCACATAGTTTTTTATATTTGCCCAAATTATTTCAATGTAATTTAATTTGCAGTGATAAGGGGGTAGCCTTAAAATGGTTTTATTTTAGCTTTTAGACATTTCGTTAATAACATTAAGATTATATTTGTGCTGCCTAGTGTGGTATGCAGCATTATCAAGCACAATGACGGCATTGTCGTCCATTTCTTCATGGTAGTCGGTCATTTTCTTTGACTCAAATGCCCACAGGGCAGTGGGCACAAAGCCATCTTCACTGCCAATGTGACAGATAACAAAACGTTTTCCTTTTCCTGGAAATCATTATTTCATATAGTATTCAAGAAAACTAGTGAATAATACAAGCAGAGTATCTAACAGATGTTGGTTCCAAATCTACCAGATATAGCTAAGTTTAGTGTAGCTGAGTTTCCAGCGTGGGCTCATAGATTTAGTCTACTTGACACCATTTTTACAACACAAATGACGAATTGGTTAGATACACGTACCTGACGGATTCTTTAGGCCAGTGATTAGTCCATCTAAGAAGGCTTGTCTTGCTGATTTAAATGTAGAGCCAGCCAATACTTTAGGTTATGTATGTCCTGCATTTATCCAGGTTTCATCCAAGTAATAAATCTTCCTGTCCTGGCCGCGGTATTTCTTTATTGATTTTAAATATTTTCTCCATAAAATAATCTCTTGGCAGTCCATCAAAATACTAGTTCTGTCCCGTTTTCTATACTCATAATGAAGTTCTTTGAGTAGTCTATAGAATGTGGTCCTTTTAAAAGTAGGCAAGTCTTCATCACTATTAACCTATATACTTTCCTGCCTATCAAAAAATTTGCGTCTGATGGCATTCCGATCAAGGTTATCATTTGTATCCAACAGCTTTGCATAATGCAGCCTCTTGTGTGGTGGAGACATTTTTTTGTTTTTTGTTTATATTTTTTAACAATGTTGAAAGTTGACTTAGGACATAAGCCTGTTTTGTTCGCCACACGTCTTTCAATATCATGAATTTTCATTTCAGGATGCTCTAAAATTTCGCCCTCATAAACGTTAAGGACAATTTCTTTTGCCTGAATATTCAAATGTCCCTTCATGTCACGTTTTCAGGGAGGAAACATCACCGAAGAGGAAGCATGGCTGATGGAAGCATTGGGAGAAATATTCTCAGTTTCATCTGCTGTTTCCGTGGACGACATGCTATGTATGCACCGAATATGAACAGCAACTGACGGCGTCGGCTTGCCGGCGATACCCCGAGCCTGAGTTCTATCCTGTCGAATCCTGCACATGTTCGTAGTTTTATCGCCGAATGACCAATAGCTATTGCAACGCTCAGGTGGCTAACACTTTGCAGCTATACATCTTTATTGTGCCGGGGCGTAAATCGAGTACGAATAGGGTGTTGACAATTCGACTCGCACTATTGGGATTTTGGAAACGGAAAGAGCTCCGAAATCATTTAACTGGGGCCAACTTTATTTTTTCTTATTAAATTTTTGCACATGCGAATGGAATATTAAATATGTAAAGTATGTCATATATTGACATTGTCAAACCCAAGATATGACCAGTTCCATTTCTGATTTTAATGATGTAATATTTTACATAGTGATTGATCATGAAACTTCAAATGTCTAAAAAAGTCATTTTCCTATAGTTGGTCTTTACTCATTGAATAAAGAACAATATATTCCGAAAACTTTATCATATTATTCAATCGTAGTATGGAAAACATTATTATTTTAGGCAGCAGCGGTCGCGTAGTGGTAGACGTTATGGGTCTACTAATCAGTCGCCGAGCGCTGCGCGGGTTCGAATCCCATCACAAGAGAATCTTGGCTATGGGTGTTGTGTCCGTAGGTGGTAGACGGTCTCTGTCGCATGCAGAGGTACCACCCGGCGGATCTCTCAGAATGTGTGGCGTCTCCCCTTTTCCACTGTATCCCCCATAGCCCCACGGTACTCATGGGTGAGTAGGCCTTCATGGTAGGTCAAGTATAAAAAAACTGATAGACATATTCTACAATAAATAAAAGCCTCGACAACGTTGCAGTTCTCTAAACACATTTCACTTCCGCCATATCCAAACCGATGCACACATCTTAAATTCAAATACTACCAATCCACAGGTGAGGTATCATGTAAAGCGCCTCCATTGTGCTAAAATAGCGCTCTTCATAATCGATACATGGGAAAATCACCTTCAATCATTCGTAAACTTTAAAAATGCTGCTCAAAAACTGAAGCATTGACGATTCAAACGGATGAACATGTGATTAAATTTAATTTTCAATGCTAAGAAAATTTTAGTTTTTTTGAAATAACTAGGGTTAGACAATTTCAATGTATGATATATTATACAAGTTTGGAACCAGAATTAAAAACTCTACTCACCTATGTAAAAATCCAATATGGCGACGATAATATTGAGAAGAAACGTCAAATTGAAATTCTTAATATACCACTGTTAATGTGCATTTTATTTTGAAATCTAACCTCAAACGAATTCAAGAAAAAATGAAAGCGATTTTAGAAAAAATCCGATATATATTTTATTAGTTATCTAACTCAACAATTTTACCTACATTTAAACGATATTTATTAGAGTGATACTTCCTTGTAAGGTTGATGTCATGGTTGAGAATAAACAATTTTCTTTCAAATGAAAATGGAATCCATTTTGGTTGCTTCTGAGGGAATTACTACATTCCTACTTGGCACCATGGTCGTGATAATGGAAATTGTATATGAATGATCAAATACACCATACACAGTTGAGCATCTGCGTAAAGAAGATGTTAATCAATGATGTGATTAATTTCAGCAACTACTCGACTTATACCACTTACAGGGTTCAGAACAAATCTAGGCCCAACTTCCGCTAAAGCTCCATCCTCTGACAGAATCTGATAATTCCTAAACCAGATTCTGTTGTCTAATACACTGAAAGTATAGACATGATCAAAGAATGGTTGACTTTTTGGATGATGTTTAGGAACACCAAATATTTGAGTAAAAACTTCTTTGAGGAGCGAGTAGTGTGGTTTCTCATTAAAAGCTGGATCAAAACTCAACACTGGTCTGGATCCTCTTAGGCAGTTGCCAGTGAGTTTTAGCTCATCCATTGTAGATGCTGTAAAAAAAATTATAAATATCTCTCTGAAAATGGAAACTAGTAAGTATGATTCTGATGTAACAACAAACACTAAATATGAAATCTCAACTAGAATATGTTAATACATACTAGTTACTACAAAATAATATGGGTGAATATACAGTATTTGGGTTTTCAATGTCAACCATCCTTAGACAAGGCTAAAACTAGCAGCAAATTTTCAGCAATAGCAACATTGTCCCACAATAGTCCAGGTATAGTATTGTAATAACAGTATTTTGCTCTTTTTCTAGATCTGGTATAGATAATTTCCAAGAAATTCTGGATATTTTAGTAATGTTTATTGTTATATGTTCACAATATCAATGTTCGGTCCTGGAAGCTGATTTCCCAACCATGACATCGTACATCTATGAATGTTTAACAGATCTTTTTCTCATTTTATCTATCACTTGTGCAATCACGTACCCACCCTCAAGTCTATGTCTGTGTCGGCTTTCAAAAGAAAAATTATAGTTTTTGTATTATTTTTAAATATTAACTTATATAATTTGGTTAAGAACTCCTCTGTTGTTATTTTGTTTATTGGGCTAGTACTTTGATCAGCTTGTCTGTTTACTAGTCCCTTTTGCAGGGAATTGATGTTGTTTTTCCATTTTAGATTTTTTCTCTTTGTACTTTCTATTGCTTTTGTAAATAAACATTATTATTATTATTATTGGATGAAAAGCCTTTAAGATTAGTTATTTTCCTATATAAATTTTTATTGCTACAATCAAACTCTCTAGAAATTCTTTAAAATGTTTTATAATAGATCTAGAATAGAGGTATGTCCCATTTATGAGAGAACAATAAGCTTTAGTATTTTTCATTGATTAAAAACCCTTTAAAATAGGTCAACTTTCCATATAACTTTTTATTGCCACGATAAAATCATCTAAAAGTTCTTGAAAACCTCCTATAACAGATCTCGAAAATAAGTCTGTGCCATTCATGAGGAAACAACATGATTTGGTATTTTTGTTGTGTGAAAACTCTCCAAAATTGTCAATTTACCCACCATAACCTTTTACTGCCACCATCAAATCCTCTAAAAGTTATCGAAAATCTTCTAGAATAAATCAAAAAATACCCTCATGAGGGAATGACATGCATAAGTAATTGATATTGGATGAAAACCCTTTAAAATCGGTTATTTTCCTACATAACTTTTTATTGACACAATCAAATTCTCTAGAAATTGTTTAAAATGTTTTAGAGTAGATCTAGAAAATAGGTATAGGCCACTCATGTGAAAACCCTTTATTAAAATTGTCTATTTTCCCGCATAACTTTTTAGTGCCAAGATCAACTTCTCTACAATTTCTTCGGAATTGTCTAGAATAGATCTAGAAAAGAGGTATGTACCATTCATGAGGGAATGACATGCTTTAATATTTTGTATTGGGTAAGCACCCTATATAGTTGGCTATTTACCTACATATGTTTGTATCGCAACAATGAAATTCTCTAGAATTTCTTGGAAATTTTCCAGAATAGATCTAGTAAATAAGTATGGGCCATTCATGAGTGAACAACATGCTTTTGCATTTTATATTGGATGAAACCCAATCTACTACTTCTACATTACCTGAACTAATATGGGACAAGGTTATTCTCAGCTTGCATCTGAAAATTTGCTGTAGTTTCAACATCATTATTCTACTTCAAATAGCTTATTTTGTTTTCATATTCATTACTTCACAAGACTATATTATATGTGATACATATTTGACAGGGTCTATGACGAAGGGGGTGACAATGAAACTATGAAAAAGATACTTTAAATAAGATATAAATACCACTGACTAAACAAATGCAATAGCTCTTTGTTATGAATAATAGTCTTCAGTAACCTCAGTTTTGAAACAAGAGAATCACATAGATTAAGAGCTCACAGACACTCAGCAGTAACATTTGTCTTTGAGGAATTTCAAATATCTGCGAGAAACCATTGTTGCATTACTAACAAGTGGCAAAAGCTATGTTTTGCCTTGTTTTACAACCATAACTTATTTAGTATTAGTTAGTTTTTACATGTGGACTCATTTTGTAGGTCTCATAAATACCAAAAATTATTTGAAGAGTTTTTCATTCCTGCCAACACTTTTGATTGAAGGACAAAAAACACGTTTTCTCATTCTTTGTCATCGAATAAAGTTTTTCCACATAAATTGGTGTACCCATTTTATGCATCCATGTTTTGAATACCCCCTTGAACAACTTCCAGCAATAAAACCAGACATTACAATTATTTCACAAACCAGGGCTATTTTCATCTAATATGATTAGACTATAAAGAGATTTGTTGATATTTATAGTGAAAGTTGGTAATGTATATTGTGACTAAATTTTAATGGTTACCTTAATTTCATCATATTTATGTTCCAAATAAAGCATGATATTTTACACTATGCAGGTGGTTTATTTCCAGATTTTCTCTTAAACTTTTTCTTTGACAGAACATTGAGTTCCCTTATATTTACCCAAACATTATATCATATTTACCATTTTCAATCAGGAACTTTACACTAGGCCCATTGGGTACATTGGCAAGCCACATATATAAATCTTGCTTCTTTCTGCCTTCAAATAGCACAGCCTTGTTACAATTCTTCATTTCACACATTTCGTTGATAATCGACAATGTTTTTGACCTCTCCATTTTCGATTCAGGTTTATGGTGAGGCATAAGTTTTTTCATATCTTCCATTAAGTGTCTGTGCCTATGGTTAATGCCTCTTGCAGCTAGGACTAGAACTCGCTGCTTGTTCACCCATTTTTTCTAATAAATCATGTATATATGAGCTTTGAGCTTTCAATTTGTGAACATCTGTTTGTGTCCAAAAATAAGAAATCAATTTGTCCAAAAAATTAAAAGACCTACCTTCTTCTGCACAGGTTCGTCTGAGTGCCTCACAGGCGGAGGAAGCTCTAGAGTGGTAGAGTCTTCGACCTCAGCGTGTTTTCTTTTTTTTGGCATCTTCATTTCTTCTTTAGTAAAGTTGCAAATGTGAAAACTCAACAGAAAGACACACAAAATTAACAGCTTAAGTGAAAAGTCTCAAAACATGCACACAACATAACCTTTTGTAAGCATGTGTCATATGACGTGTTCTACCACGGACTTCCCGTTACTCGATGTGGACTGCATGCGAACAGTGTTGTCAGATGATTCATCAACTTTAGAAGTACCAATAGAAGATGATACATCTTCCTATCATTATGGCTTATACTCTCTCTTTGCATACATACAATACAACTTAGCACTCTAGCTACGCAGCCTTACGTTATTAGTGATAACCAAAATATGAGATATATCAAATTTGGGAATTTTTCGCGCTACTAAAAAGTTTCACTACTCACACTAGAACCAGTAGCGGTGAAAAACATTACTTACTTGTTTGCTGTGATTGTGGTGAAGTAGTGGTATGTGAGAAGTATTTTGATTTGAATACCTACCTATTCATAATTATGTATGTTCAGTAACTAACTTTTGAGGATATATATATATATATATAGTATACATACAAAGGATAGGCCATAACAACACTTATATAAGTATTTTAGCAAAATAATAAATTATCAAGTGCTTAATTGTTCCATTATAATGTCCTGTTGCAATGCAAGACTAGTTGAGAAATATATTGACATGCATTTCATAACTCTGGGGCTTCTGACAGACTTAAGTTTTGGTCGCTGAACACAGATCTGAAATTATTTTTCTGCGCTCGAAAAAATTGTTTCATCGTTCATTTTGTATAATTTTTCCTTCAGTTATAAGGTTCAAGCGCGACACTGACACCGATAATAGACGTGGGCGCCACCATGCGGCGAACGTCCGAGAGTTCCGAGACTAAAAGGTTCATCCCATTGTGAGGAGACACACTTGCCAATTGTGGGGTGTTGTAAGCACGTAAGCAACGTTGTACAGCTACAGAACGTTTTATACAACATTCGAAGCATCATGTGGGACTGCATTATATAGGGGTACGAAACGTCTTATGGGCGATCTGACAACACCAAGGTCATGCTCTCCAGGCAAAATCGAGATAACTGTATTCCGGCATCACGTGACGTGCTCCTGCCGGGATCCAGGGTTGCCAGGCGTGGCGATCTTTCTGCAAAGTGGCAATTTGACGGCTTCAAATGGATAGCTTGGCGATTGGGTACTTTAATGTCGCCCAATATCCAGCAAACTGGCGATATCTGGCCATTTTTAACATTTCTGACGCCAATAAATTTGTAATCGATTATTTTGCTGATATGTGTATACAAAGAAAACCAAATTTGTGTGACGGCATGACTTGAGAAGCGCGAGAAGTGTTTATCAACACATGTTAGAAAGAGATAGGAGCCGGTTGAAGAGCGAAGGTTATCACCACATTGCCTAGCAACGGTGATGCAGAAGCTCGTTCAAGCTTCTGCGTTGACAAAATGTTACACCAGAAAATGCTCGCACAGGCTTCTACAACAGGTTACGTCACTGTCAAACGCAAGAAGGAGGTCTATTTGGAGCAGAGCAACACTCCCCACTCAGTCTTATGTGTTTGTGACTTAAACTATAGTACCTGCGCCAGTACCACACCAGTACTTTCTTTATATTAGAATTAGAAATCTGTAACAGTTTCAGAGGAGCCTGAACAGATGTCGAAACTGCTTTCAAATATTTCAAATTATAATCTTGTATATTCAGAGATTCTGGAAGGAAATACCAAGCTACATGCCACACAATGTAGGCAGAGTTGCCGAGCATACAGATATTTCGATATTTCTACCGAAATAAGACTACCGGAATAACGAAGTCCTTATTTTCCACAATTTAAAAAAAAATCAGATATTTCGAACTTTTTCACAATTTCATAAACAAAAATGGGAAAATGAGTTTCTAGGATCGTACCAAAGGAGGTTGAAGAGCTACCAGTATGCTAATTGTTTTTTACACCGAAGTAAGTAGCTGCGCACCCATAAGGTTAAATGCTAGCGCGCCGCGGCTGCTATGCGGAGCTTAAAGAAACTTTGTTGATCCGATTTTTGAACTGCCCAAGTTAGTGAAACTGGAAACAGCCTCCTCATGTAGATAATTTTACAGTTTCGATACCGTAGGGGCAAAGGAGCAGTCGTACGTTTCTGATTGAAAGCTGAATCCAGACGGGTCTGTTTGGCAGGCACATCGGGCGGGGGCATTATGGAGGAGAGCTCTGAGAGGCAAATCCCGTTGGTGTAGCGGTAGAAGAGAGCTAAATCGCCGACAGCCCGCCTGTGCGAAAGGGTCCCGAGTCATAGATCAGTCGGACAGAACTTCTTTGAACAGCATCGAGCAAAGATACTGTAGTCGGGGCGGCAGCACAAAAAACATTGAGCAGTAGTCTAGGCTAGGTCTTATCTGGGCCTTATCGTGAGTGAGGAGGTCATGTGGAGAAAAGTACTGATTGAACTTAAACAAATAGCTTAGCTTCTTCCCAGCATCTGCCGCTATTGATGATATTTGTTCGTGCCAGATCAAGTCCTCGGTGATCTGTACTCCGACCAGCCGAAAAGATCGGCTCTTTGGCAAAACTGGGTCATCCATCGGAACCGGAGGAGTGCTAGCACGCTTTTTGTTCGTCAAGGTACAGTACTGGGTACTGGGAGCAATAAGCTGTATAGTCTTTTTCACGAGTATCCATTACTGTAAAATTACAGCTGCTTAACTAGTAATATTTCAAAATTCCCAATATCGGCAAAGGACACATAGTTCTGACAGATCCGTCAATGCCAGGTAGACAGAGCTATATTTTGTTTAGTTTTTTTGTACCCTACAGATTCATTTTGTTGTTGCTAAAAGCTCTTTTATAGTGGGGTTTCTCACCAAAGCCGAGCCGGGCCGGACGGAAATCGCTTAAACGCTAAATACGCAGGATTTGAATGGGAGCTTCCAAACAGAACGCCGGGCCGCGACGAGCGAGACCGGGCGAGGCCGAGCCGATTTGAGCACGGCTATGTACCGCCAATTCGAGCGTTTTCGGCTAAGCGGATTCGGCGTCCTTAAAGTCTAGTTCGGCGTTCCAATAAGTTAAAACACGTCAAGTGGTTTTTGTTCTACATATTGTCACTTCAAAAAATAAACAAAAATGAGTGTTGATGTTGAACTACTAATTAGTTCTATTCAGGAAAGACCTCCGTTATGGGATCAATCTTGTAGAACGTGTGTTTATAGTTGGAGACAGTTGTTCTTCAGTTTCACCGAAATTGGACGATTGTTGGTCTATCTCGTGGAGTATCAATTCGTCCATTCAGTCCTTGTCGATAACAATGTTATGCAACACGCACATACACTTTACAATTTTGTCAGCTAAATCAAGGGTTGTTTCAATTGGTTTTTGGAGTAACCTCCATTTAGACGCCAAAATTCCAAACGAACTTTCCACAACTCTTCTAGCTCTTGACAAGCGTTCATTGAATGTTCGTTTCAAGTCGTCCAATTCCCTCCTCGGGAAAGGTCTCATAAGCCAAGGAGTCAAAGGGTAAGCTTCATCTCCGATAACCACAAAGGGACAATTTATGTCTGTTTGTGGCAATTCTGTGTCTGCTGGCATACTAAAAGTACCATTTTTTAAGCAGCGATAAAGCGTACTTTCGGAAAATATTCCACCGTCAGATTGTTTACCATATGCACCAACTTCTATCGTAATAAATTTGTATTGTGCATCAGCAAGTGCTTGCAGAACGATTGAATAGTACCCTTTATAATTATAGTATATACTTCCTCAATTAGCAGGGCATTTCACAGGAATATGCTTCCCGTCTATAGCCCCCTCGCAGTTGGGGAAATTCCACTTTTGCATGTAAAGAGTAGATGATCGCAGAAGCAAATTAGTTGTAGGTTCCGGCATGTGTATCGATGCTAACTTATCCCAAATTGCTGTGCAAACTTCTGCAATAATGTAGTGAACCTTTGAGGTTCCAATTTTGAATGCATCACTGATGGCTCCATAGGATAATCCTGCCGATAGATACCTGAAAACAATTTCTATATTAGAACAAATGTGCTACTCAACAACTCTAATATAATTTTTAATGTCTATTGTGAACAATAATACAATTTTCAACCAATATTATTTTTCGTTTGTTGCAGATATTATAGCAAAGAAAAAATGGAAACATTTGAGGGACAGTTTTCGGAATGAATTAAAGAAAGAATGCAAACCAAAATCTGGGGACGCCCAAGGCTCACCATGCAAGCCCCAATGGAAATGGTTCAAAAACATGGAATTTTTACGAGGAACCCTATCTTCTAGAAGTATGGAAGACAACTTGAAAAGTGACTCCTCGTATTTCACACAGGAAGAGTCTCAGCGTGAAACCGAGTCTATTGATGGAGAGGTGATGAGTTGCCCACAATCGCCAACTGATGTCTCTATATCTTCTGCACCTTCTAGTTCTTTAAGTTCAAGTGTAGGTAGAAAACGCAAAGTCACTGCAGCAGAAGAAGGTGAAAGGCTGCATATTGAAAAAGAAAAACTGAACATCATGAAATCAATGGCAAAAAAAGAAGACGAGAAAGATACAACTTATCATTTTCTGATGAGCCTCAAAGACCCTATAAACCCAATAATGCCAGTCTGCAACCTATAAATTATACTGACTACGTATTACCAACATCTACACTGACCAATCCAGGGGACGCTTCAACTTTATTTTCTAGCTTCACCGATGATAGAATATAGATTAAATATAGTTGCAGTATATCCGAATTGTATTGAATTCTTATCAATACAATTTTTTAAAACGTATTACACTTGTGGATAAATAAAAAATGAAGGTAAAAGTTATTAACAATATATTTAGAATCTTGGTCACTTATCAAATAGTCACCATCAGCCTTTCTTCACATGGAATAGCTCTTCTGTAGTTCGTGTTTCTTTTGTGGATTTGTAGACAAATTGATTCCAGTATATAATCAAATGTATAAATATTCACCATCAGCCTTTCTTCACATGGAATAGCTCTTCTGTAGTTCGTGTTTCTTTTGTGGATTTGTGGACAAATGGATTCCAGTATATAATCAAATGTATCGGTACTCATTCTAAAATATCTTCAAAACCTTTCTTCATCTTCTCGAAGTTTCTGGTATAGAGTTACGAACTGTCCGCTAGTCTTGTGATCTTTATTGATATTGTGAGTCCAGTATCGCCTTCATTCTCCCACACGTTCATGATCAAGTGCGGAACTATCTAGTAACTTCATCATCAAAGTGGCTGACATTATTTCGCTGAATAATTTCAACTGACAATGACATCTCACTACAAGGCTAGAAAACCTACTGAGAGCGAATCGGCTTCAGTGCGAACGCAGGCAGATTTCGCTCGGCTCGGCATCTCATCGCTTTGCCCTGCCCGGCTCGGCTCGGCTTTGGTGTGCAAGGCGCCTAAAGAAAAGTTCATTTGCATACAAAAACAAAACGCTACGAACAAGTTTTACTAGATTTACAGTACACCTGATTCATTATTTCCAACGCCGCAGACTAACAGAAAAATGTGAGTTGCTGATCAGCTGTTTACCACAGTAGACGTCAAAGCGTGATGGATACTCGTGAAATACGGTATACCAGGTTGTTGCGTCCCCAAGCAGTGATAACCCCTAAGTCTGTCGTCAGAGAGGAAGTCACTACTAGTCTTTTTTTCTCCAGCTCACCAGCAGAGACCGGGTAATGCTGTGTTTTGACATTATGTAGGTTATTCTACAAGATATTGACTTAGCACTTAGTTGTACGTGTTGCCTAAACGTCATGAGGCTTGTTATCAATCTTTGGCTCTGATGTGATGTAAAATCTGCTTCTGAGATGGCATTACTGGAGGTCTAAGCTGTAAGTTGTATGTGTTGATGATAATTACATTGGGTTCTTGTCTCAAATACACTTAATAGAGATTCAAAGCTAGAAATTAGTTGCGCATCCACTGTTTCTTATCCATTCTGGAAATTACATATACAAATTTGCTGAATTTCAAAAATGAGAGAGATAACAAATAATTATTATCTCTGTACACTGTCGAATTACAAGCCATATACATGCTAACAGTAATTACACACAACGCGGGCGTGGTGATGATTTCCCGTAATTCTCCTCAGTTTTTCGTAATTTATAAGTTTGAACATAACCTCTCTTCAGAAAGCACAACATATACATAACCCGTCATATTCGGCGTATTCAGTAATGATTTTCTCACACAGCAAATATAACTGATTTTATAGACATGCAGACCAATACACATAATCATCCAGATGCGATCTTGCTATTCAACCAACTTTCTTCTCAGAGATAAAAACTACAGACCCAGATCACTCAGCCTCACAAAACTATGCAACCAATAATGCGTAGTTTAGTTGAGTGATTCCTCCATAGATGGACGTTCACAACGATCCTAGTGAGCAAACGTGGAATGACTGTTTGCGCCCTAAAGACTACCTAGTCTGCAAGTTGACAACTTATAGGTTTTCTTTGACGTTTTGTAGGTTTTTTACATGATACCCGCACGGCTTGTTACCCTGATTGCCTGCATGTAGAGTGCTGCAATCAGCAAAGCTGTAGATTGGATTGAGCGTACATGATAGGGGGTCGTTAATATATAAGAGGAACAATGCCGGAGCCAAGACCAGTCCCCTGTGGATCGCTGGTGGTAGAAATCATACAGTTTAACTTCTAGTATTCTTGTTAAACGGCAAATTGAGACCGTACAAATATAATGTACTAGCTGACCCGACAGACGTTGTCCTGTCTTAGCTATGAACTGGGATGAATAATGAATAAAAAAGGGTAAATATTATATATGGAATATAGGTTATTGTATAGCGAAGTGTTTGTACCGCCATGTGGATAGCAAAATACGTTGGCAGCACTGTCATTCCCCCATCAACTTACCTTGGAACTAGGCATACAAATGTGGAATGAAGTTTGTTGCGCCAAATGACGTCATTTCAAAGCAATTATTGTATTGCTGGTTATAAGTAAAAAAAAATGTATAGAATCTGTCTCAGTTCTGGAAACCAATGAATGTACCTACTGGCTCTGGTAGTGAAACCAATGGGGTCAATTCGATCTTTGCACTGACGCAACATAATCCAGGGGCTTAATGTTTAAACTTGCGATGGAGACACAACGTTCAACGGTCAAATAGCAACGATTTGTTGTGAACTGTAATCGATTGCCACGTCCTTCGATCCGTTCAACTTCATTTCTCGATTCTCGTTGCTCGTCAGTTTGACTTCTTCGTATATATCTTTGACTTGTAGCATTGCGATTTCTGGGACCTAGGTGGGTACGTCTAATTGGTGGCATTTTGATGAATCACAATTTTAATATAAGACGTGATTGCGGTGAACTAACTTCCATTGATTGTTAATTATTTTTGAACAAGCACTTCTCAAAAAACTCACTGAACAAACTGAAAACTGGATAAAAGCTCTAATCGAATGGATTGTGCACTACTAATTAAATAAAACAATATTTTTTCATCGATAAACACTGTTAAACGGTAATATAAATTTAATTTAATTTAAGCAAAAGAAACGTATTTTCTGCCATTTCTATTAATAGTGTCAACTGACAAAGATAACAATTAGGCAACACTGCAGTTTCTTTTGAAGGGGCCAACACAAAGTACGGATGGTAAAGGAATGTAAGTCTCAAAACGAAAGCACCGTGTTTCATAAGCAACTCACACAGCTAACTGTTGGAATAAAGATGGTGGAGAGGAGTGTCTGTCTCTTTTGGTACTTGAGATATTTCTTCTGCTGCGCGTGCTCCATGCACCTGAAAATATAAGAAAAGGTTTATATATGCAAACAGGCCCATAAATGTTTTGATTCTATCTGCGGTTTCCATACTCAAGGTATATAAAACTGTTTTCTAAAACCCATTCCGTCTCTATCCTATGGACACACGGCGCCCATATCAAACAGCATTAAAAAACATGAGTAACCCTCCCCCCCCCTCCTTCTCCCACCCAGTCTTCAAATTTCCTCAACAGCAAACTAGCAGGGTCCCGGCTTCCTTTCTGTCCTGGGACAGCTTTAGCAGTGCATAAATATTTTTAGCGGAAATCAGTACGCCACTGATTTTTTGCAAAAAATCATTCAAAATAACTGTCTATTAGAGCTTGTCGTTTTTAACGAACATAGCAAAAAACTCAGGCAGAAGCATTATGACTTTAGGAAAAGCAGAATGTGTTACAGCTAAACATAAACTTTTACTATGGAAAGGAGAAATTTCAAGATTTTTAAATTTTTATCGTGTTAAATGTCACTTAAATTTCAATCATCAGTCTGTACCACCCTAATATATAAATATTCGATTCGTAGTTATTGGTCAATGACTGGACTAAATCATTTCTGTAGGAAGCCATTCAATTGTAGTCGGCTATGGCAATGAAAAAAACAAATCAAGCATCGCAAAATTTGACAGATTGACGCCCTTGCAAGCTCGTGCATCATTTACTAGTAACTACTCGCAAAAATTATAATAAAAGCTAATCAAAAATGTTATCCATACAAGAATTTGAAGTGGTTTGCGATAAAATAGACTGTTTGGAAGACAAAGATGTGGCTACGTTAATGAAATGGTTTTGCTTTGAAGATATATTAAGCTTAAGTCACCATAATTTCAACTTCTTGACGTGAGTATTTTCCTATCATATGAATCTAGAATTTAAAAAATTGTTTATGGTATATCGATTTTACAATAAATTTAAGTATATTTTTGTGGCAGAATGATCTATAGATATATAAAAAAATTCTCAGTCCTATTTTTATTATCTCGAAGCTATAATAAGCACGATTACACGATTTTCACGTTTATTAAAAAAATTATGTACTGGGGTCGTATCATCAGTCGTTCCTACAATTTATTGTAGGACTCCTTTATTACCTTCTTGATTTTCATAGTCTTTTCTCTCCTCCAGAAAGGCTCAAATTGTTCATGCTTTTGATTTACATAGGTATATAATAATAATAATAATAATGCCTTTATTAGCTGCAGTGATATCATCTGTTATATCAGCCTGAAATTTCCTACAATTCAAAAAGAAAACAAATAAGTACGTGGCATTTATAATTAACTAGTGAAATAATATTAAAGATTCAAACATAAAAAAAATCATTGCTCTGTTAACCGACAAAAAATAAATAAAACATTCTGAGGGACCCTGAGACATATCCCAGTCCATTCCACACAAATGTCTTTGACTGCGAAAACGAATAGCCTTACAATAGGAAAGCGCTGACACTGACACGGAACAGTACAAATCTATAAATTACCCACCCTTTCTGAAGGAGACGAAATGCACATCAAGGAGGCCATAAAGGCGTCCTCCAATTGTAGGTATTTTGAGGTTTGTATAAATATCTATTTGCATCAAATTGTTCATGCTTTTGATTTGAATCATCTGTTACATCAGCCTGAAATTTCCTATATCCAAAAAGAGAACATAGCCTCACAATAAGAGAGTGCTGACGCTGTCACGGAAATCTAGAACTATCCTAGCCTTTCTGAAGGAGAGAAAAGAGTACGAACATCAAGGAGGCCATAAAGACGTCCTACAATTGTAGGAAGAACTGACGATACGACCCTAAGTAGCGGCAATTGAATCAGTCATTTCAAAAACCTAAAATCACACAATTTGTTTTTTTTCAATAGAGAAATAAACCCGTTTTAAAGAATCGAGTTAATCATATTTTCATTGCTTATTATTGAAAATTAGACATAAACATTGACTTATTGTCCATCTTTAAGGTACCATGTTTGCCTGGCGAATAAAACCACATGCATTTAACACTCTTCTGTAATGTATACGTTTCTTTGATAACGGTAACCTTCTTCAGTTCATTACACTTTTTTTTAAATATTGTCAAATATTGTTGACCGAAACGTATTCATAAAAGAAGAATTTTAAGTACATGTGGTTTTATTGACTAGACAAGCAAGGGAGATCATCTACATGAAAAGCACAGGATAAGTTTCAGATGTTACGTTATCTTTAAGGTACATAGGGGGAACGCGGGCAAAGCGAACATCGCGGAAAATCTAATTAGATATAAGAGAGATAAGAAAGTGAGCCAAGGCACATGTGGTTACAGATTAGGAGGTATTCGAATCGGTATGTACGGCGCGAGCCAACATAAGCCAACGGTTTCCAAGGTGGCCTTTGGCGTTCGATTGCGTTCGTTCCTTGATCGGTACATCAAAGGGAAGTTTGATTTGGTCTGGACAGGATTTGCTGAGCATTTAGTATTTAGTCGTTTGTATGCATTTGACTGGAGAAGAGCCTCGTTGTTCGACATTATTAGGACCGAACTTAACCCAATGCGGTCCAACTCGTAACTAAATTTAGGTGGAGACGACGTGTAGACGAGCGCATTCCAATTCCTTCCAATGACAAACGCCAGCGTCACATATGCTTGCTCGGCGTTGGATTTTCGGTCAGTACGCGGCTCTACATGAACTATGATAACCATGACAGCACTTTTTCAACTAAAATATTGATTTTGCAGGATATCTGTTGTGCGTGTAATCCTATTTTTATACTACGAGGTCCATTTTTAAAGTAAGAACCGATTGCGAATGATGCCCGCCGCCCGTGAATCCTGTCACGTGATGTCCGTTCAACCTCAGACACTCTTGGCCAGTCTCTCACTGCGCCACCATTACGTTTCACGACACCATGGGCAGGGATATTACGTAAGAAACTTAAAAAACGTCAAAAAAAAACCGACAAAATGTCATCTTGCAGACTTGGTCCCCGATAGCACGAAATATTCATTAAATATATATTTAATTTTCATTAATATTTTTATCTTACTTAAATATTTGTTTTCTTAAACAAGTATCTTTTAAATATTTTAAAAACAATATTTCTTTTACAATAGTCATTAAATATTCACTTTTCATTCAATGGAAAATATTAGATCTCCAATATTTAGAAAATATTCATTAAATATTTTCGGCTACGGCGCATGTGCGTGTGACCTCGAGCGACCAATTTGATAATAGCAAGCTGTTGCCGGCATCCATTTTACCTGTGACTTTCAGTATGATAGCGTGCTTCCTGTGTACCTCCAAGTGGTTCATTATTTGAGTGTTTTTTGTGGAAAAGGGAAAAGGGTAAGTTTTTCGATAACTACATAGGTTGATTTATCTGACTGGTAAACATTATTGTGCCAGTTGAGTATAAAGGTATTTACAAGACCGTAAATAACTAGCCATGTGGGGTCCTTTTAGGTGCATTATAGAGCTGCTTCTCAGTGGCCCAGTTGAGCTGCTCAGAGTAACTCACCATGCTCTGCACCAATATTGTTCTACTGCATTTTATATTCCCATAAATAAACTGGAAAGCAGCTTATGGATTCAATAATACTTCATAATTAGTAAGTTTTTTTTTTCAGAGGAGTCTACTTGCAAGATGCAGAAGAGGCTTATAATGTTTTTGATAATATTTTTCTAGCAAATTAAACCATTATATCTAGAATGAATTTTCTTTATACACCCAATTTTATATATGCATTCCTACAGGTTTTGCTAAAATAACCAATGGAGAATTTTTTATATAGGTACACTGAAAATATGTATCAGATCGATGATGAAAATCCATACATATTTACAAAAAATTTTAGATATTTCATCAAAATATAAAATTGATATTTAAAAATCTTTCCTCATATATTATCTAAATATTTGGAATTATATATACTAAAAATATCTATAATAAATATTTTATAAATATATAAGAAATATATTTATTAAATATTGAAAAATCTGTCGCTACAAATATTTAATGCTATCGGGGGTAGTTTTAAGTGAGCGAATAGTTCATTCGGCGTTTGCTCGCTATGATTGCTGTGAGCGTCATCTAAAGCGTCCATCTATGGAGGAATAACTCAACGACACGATATGCATTGTTGGTTGCAGAAAGCGAGTAGTCTGTAGTGTTTATCTCTGAGAAGATGTGAAAGAAAGAAAGTTGGTTGAATAGCAAGATCGCATCTGGATGATTATGTGTATTGGTATTAGTGATATTTGTTGCTATGTGTCAAAATTATTACTGAATATGCTGCCGAATAAGTATATATATAGGTATATATATATATATATATATAAAGAGAACATGATCATGCGGAGAAAGGTATATAACAACAAGTAGGAAAATAATGGGCAAAATCCGCAAAAAGGAGGAAAGTGGATTCGAGCAGAAAATAGGATAGGTAACCCGAGCGATACGTATTTCTGCTGGTTGGCTTCATCAGGCCCGAAATGAATGCACATATGAAACTACAAAAGTAGATACACATGCCCACACATCCGGATACGGGTGTAACCTGAGGAAACGAAGTTGGAGGGGAAAAAACGACACACGAAGTCCACAACAAGAGCCAACCTACACATTGTAGTATAAAATGGCTATACGACCTCGAATTTTCAAGGAGACGTCTAACCACCACCACGCGGCCGGTTATAGCCACTTGCTGTGGTATTCAAGCCCAAAGGATCTACAAAGAGAATATGATCATGCGGAGAAAGGTATATAACAACAAATAGGAAAATAATGGGCAAAATCCGCAAAAAGGAGGAAAGTGGATTCGAGCAGAAAATAGGATAGGTAACCCGAGCGATACGTATTTCTGCTGGTTGGCTTCATCAGGCCCGAAATGAATGCACATATGAAACTACAAAAGTAGATACACATGCCCACACATCCGGATACGGGTGTAACCTGAGGAAACGAAGTTGGAGGGGAAAAAACGACACACGAAGTCCACAAGAGCCAACCTACACATTGTAGTATAAAATGGCTATACGACCTCGAATTTTCAAGGAGACGTCTAACCACCACCACGCGGCCGGTTATAGCCACTTGCTGTGGTACTTCAAGCCCAAAGGATCTAAAAAGAGAATATGATATAATATACTTCACCAACTAAGGATTATCTTTTCTTACCTCTCTCAGTTTTGAAATTCAGCAAAGCTGCATAATATGTAATTTCCAGAATGAATAAGAAAAAGTGCATGCGCAACTAATTTCTCTCTTTGCATATACCTCAAGTAAGTGTATTTGAGATAAGAAACCAATGGAATTATCATCAATCCAGATTATTAGCACACAAATCCTTACTATACACCTATGCACTGCTGTTTCATTCCAGCTTACATCTCTGAAGCAGATGTTACATCACATCAGAGCCAAACATTGATAGCTGACGCATCATGACGTTTAGGCAGCACGTACAGCTATAAAACGATTTCACAACAGGTGTACTACAGCTAGTGCTAAGTTGACACTTTGTAGAAAAACCTTCGTTATGCCAAAAAACCTATAAAATGTAAAATAGCGACATAATGTCACTTTCCAAGTTACGTAATACCCCTGCGAATAAGGTAAAATGGATACCGTATGCTCCCGTAACCTTATTTCTATAGTTGTGAATTTAAAATTAATGCATATTGCAACAAAAAACAAATCAAGTATTCTGGTATTGTTTTTGAAATGACCCGTCGACGAGTAGTACCTGCAAAAGCGACATAAATAACTTGATATTTTGCAATGAATGTGTATTTCGCGGTATTATTTGAAGGGGAAAGAATGATGTATACTCACGTGGATTATACACCTGGTACGTTGTTTACATTCCCTGGGCGCCAACAACGAGTTAGCTCGTAGCATCGTTGTTATTATTAATTAGCATTAGCATTATGTCGTAGATGGCTTCCGCAGAAAAAATTATGTTAGGGGAAGGGTGGGCAAGTCGACATACTCGAAGGTAAAATCGATTTATTTTGAAAAACATAGAAGGTATCTTGAATTAAAAAGCGTTATCATACAAATAGAACATCCTTTTTAATATTTATCAAGTGAAAAACAAAACCAGAATTCTATTTTAAAACTAAAAATGTAAAATAAAAAGAGTCAAAATGTCATCTTGGCCTACCTTAGAGGGAAAGACGGCATATACGTGGATTTATACATAAAGTGATCAATTATCAAAACATAATGAACAAATGAAGTTCTTAGCCTTCATTGATAGTCCTGCACACTCTGCATGAGCCATGAGCCCACATATGACACATTTGGCAACGTAACCAGCCTTCTTGAGATTGGGATAGGCTATACAACTCATTGCAATAGAGGCATGCGCAATCATCGTCGTCGTCCTCATTTAAGGGCTCTTTACAGTCTGATTCATTTTCATAGATTTCAACTGCACTTCGTTCACTTTTTCTTAATTTTCCGGTTCCCTTTTCGTGACAATCTTTTTGAATATATTTATCCCCAACCATCAAACACATTTTTCTTCTCTCGCTTTTTTAATATTATCTTGTTCGCGAAGACTCTGTAGGTATGGACTCCTGGTAAGAACATCTTGGTAACTTCCCTTGGCCTTCCTTCTTCTGGACTTTCTTGCGTTTCCCTGAGGAAGAGGTGAAATTTGCAACAAAACGTTTGTGACGTTATTAGCTGTTCATGTGGCTTTGTATTTACTGTTGTAGATGACTGCGGATCTTCTTCATTCAAATGTTCTGCTGCAGAGAAACATTCACCCGGATTAAGGGATTCAGTGTTCGCATCATCGGCCTCAAGTGGCACGTCAGTTACTGTGCTGAGCAAATATTACACTGGCGGATTTAGAGGGGGGCGCGGGGAGCCTGCCCTAGACGTCTGTCATTTGCTTTTGCAATCTAAGACCATTGTGTTACTTTCTGTCACATCATGGTGACAGAGGCATACTAACTATAAGTTATAGCTATAGGAACTGAGCATTATGATTTTTTGGTATCCCTCGGCATTCCAAATGCTGTCTCTCTTACGATTTATACGTATATACGAGTATTGTGACTTGCGACAAATATAAGTCTGGGTAATATATTAGCTATACAGATTGCACTTAAAAAGTGATTTATGTTCTGTTTGTTGCTCAATATTTGAAAAGTGTGTAAAGCTTGACTGATTTTGTTCGGGGTTGGTGATGCAGCGAAGCACTATGTTAGATGAATGCCTAAATTGGAAATAGACATTTATTTAGATTTGTTTAGCGGTGCGCCTGTAGCCTCTCTAGAAACTGCGTCGATCGATGCTCAAAATCAATACCACACGTCCTGCATCTCTTCTCGCGTATGTGTCTATTTATGTTGCTATATTGATTTCGTTTAAATCGCAGATATGCTGCTGCACGTGAATATGTACAGCCCTGTATCCCTGTACTTGTTTAGTACAAACATACATTATCAAAAGAATTACGATCTAACAGATATAGTTTTTTCCAAGGATTTCCAACATTTCTACATGCCAACACCGGTTCGAAAACTGAGAAAACAAGTATGCCGTAAATCTAAGTTCGACAACGAAAGTCTGAAAAATAACTGTAACATCTATATTGAATCTCAAAAACCCTAACCCCTACTGAGCGGGACCGTAGCAAATGCTTGTTCCGGAAGTTGTTGTATCCAGCATACAACTTCTTCCCGTACACGTGATTGTACACGCGTTAAGGAATACCTCAGTACCGATTGCCGGGTGGCGGTATAAGTCCGCCAACGGGCCACTTTAGGTCCATTTAATATCATTAACACGAAAAAGAAAGGTGGTAGACAAGGACCAGTCGACCGAGGCGGTACCACCCTATAGCTTTTCGCAGGGTGTCTTATAAATGTCCGCATGTTTCCACACCTAAGCTATGTAGTCGGTTGTCTTCCAAAACAAAAAAATTAATGATGATGGATCCCTCAAGTACTAAGAATTCCGGATGTAAGCTCACTCCACTATCAGGAATGTCCGGGTGGAGGGTAGACTCAAGGGAACAACATCGAAGATAAAATTTGTTTCACGAACATCTACGGGATTAGCAGCAACATTGATGATGTTCATCACTACCTGCAATCCAATCGTCCCCCCATGCTTTTCTTGGCGGAGACAAAAATCTCTGCACCGATTAACCATCTTAGCTACCAAATTACGAGGTGCACTCCAATCTGAGAAAGAACGGGGGAGTTGTGGCCTTTGTCTGCAGCAGTCTTTCCTGCTGGGCAGTTCAGAGTCTTAATCCTCAAGCTTATTACATCCTAGTAGACCCCGTTGCGCAATTTGTCTATAGGCAGTTTGGAGACCATCTCAAGACACGATCTATAGATGGTCTACAGACATCCTCGTTTGTCTTGTCTAGCGTCCATATGGTAATGTGCTTTTTTTGATCTCATTCTCGTTTTCGCAATCAAAGACATTGTTTTGTGTGGAATGGACTGGGATATATCTCAGGGTCCCTCAGAATGTTTTAATTATTTTTTGTCGCTTAACAGAGCAATGAAGTTTTTCATGTTTGAATCTTTAATATTATTACACTAGTTAATTATAAATGACACGTAATTATTTTGTTCACATATAATAAAATATTGGCTTTCTGAGGATTTCTGAGCAATTTCCATGTTTTTTTTCAAGCTGGCCTTGACCAAATAGAACACAATGGATTTAAGGAGCAATATTAGCATAAATTCTAGAAGTTCTACTGAGGTTAAAAAATGACCAGCCCCAAATATCGTTTGAGAAGAAATCCTGAAACCGCCCTTGCAAACATATGTGTTCTGCAAATATGTCCGGGTTGAAAGGTGAGATCCCTGTTGCTTTAAATCCGCTTAAAGCTATCGCTGGTGTTGCAGTTTTGTTGTAGGCGGAAGAAAAAAGTGACGCGACTTGCTAAAGAGTGATGACACGACTTGGATTTTCCTTCAACCATTGAGTTGCTGCTGCATCGTAGTACTTACTTAGTGGTCCAAAAAAGCACACATCGAGCGGTTGGAGACGATGTGTGCACTTGGAAATGCCTGCTAGCCTTTAACCAACCCATGCGCTTTTCTGTTACAGCCTGCAACGCTCGCTCCATGTTCTTCTCATTCCATGCCCCTCTATTGGCTTTTCTTTTATAATTGGAAACCATCTGTAAATTAAAACAGCAGTTGCAAATTTTAGGTCATGAGGGCCAAGGACAGATCTATGGAGGGGAGAATAATGGGGATAACAACTCCCAACAGACAGGTCCCATTATTTAAATGAATAGAAAACACTGGATAAAAATACTATAATAGCTTAAAAAATATACTAAAAAAATATATAGGTACCCATGTTTTTACTTCTACATTAATAGTAAGTACCCAAAACATTAACCGAGAATTTTATTTTAAAGGAGTTTTGGGTAAAAGTTGGTCCCAGATTTTTTTTACCCTCCCCCAGAAACATTTCATAGATCCGCCCTTGAGAGGGCAAGATGACACAGCTGTATTTCAACTTGCCCGCTAGCGTGTGTGATCATAACATGAAAATATGGCCGGTTAAAATATAACCTAAAAACAGTTGCAATATCTTAAAGTCAAGCTTAGGAACACCCTTTTTATCTTCAAGATAAATCATGACAAGAAATACTATTATAGCATAAATATGCAACAAAACATATGGTACTTACATTGGACCAAAATGCAACAATGACACAAAAACGTAAATATTTTTTAAACGTACGGAGTATTCACACCCAAAGACTATCAAACGATTACTGCGCAGGAGTCGATTGTAACGAGCGTATGAACTGAACCAATAAGGTATTAGTTTTCGTGGTGGGGGCAATGTGTCGTCTTACCCGGCTATGTCGACTTGCCCATCTTTCCCCTACATAATTCAACTGAGAGAGCATTCGTAACATGTCTAAAAGAACATTGTTTAAGCTCTTTGATTATTAATACGCTTAAGCACTAACAGCGCAGAATACAAAAAATTGAGATATCCATGTACTTGAAAGAACCACGGTGGCAGAAGCTCAGACGTTGTCAATAAACAGATTTCAAGCATATCATAGATATCTTTTAGTCGCCGGACAAACGTGGAGGATTATGAGATACATACATATGTACATTCGATAGGAAATCATCGTTCTTTTTCTGGTCCTAAAAAATAATCAGTTTTGAGTTACTCGATAATAGAAGTTAAGCGACGATACGTACTATAATTAACGATTTTAATCGTATGATTAAATCAAATTGAGGTCTGGGTCCGGAATCCTTGGTAATTCCGTGGTAGTCAACTTTTTATGGAGGTAAATAAGAAACATTTCGGAAAAATCGTGACCTAAGTAGTTTTTGAAATGACCGATTCAATTGCGATGTAAAATTCGTTTATACAATTTTTTGTCTAAGACTATCCATTCCACCTTGTTAGGAGTATATACAAATAGTGGGTACATTTTCTTTTATTTTAGATTGTTCGTAAACTTTCTTGGAAAAGTGATATATAGAGAACCATTTTTTAACATGCAAAGTGCAGTTCAGCATTCTTTAGAATTTGTTCTAACAAATATATTTACTGCAGACTCAGTTGACCATTCGATAGAAGATGTTAGTCAACTATTGCATATTCTCAGTTATATGATGGAAAGGTATGAGATTATTAATTTATCCTCAACTTGTTGCTCGTTGTAACAAATTTGTAGTAATATAAAAGTATATAGTATTTTTGTGAGAGGTCCCCCATACTACTTATTTTTTGAACGGGTCAAGTTAGTAAGCTGAAATTTGATATCATGAAATGGATGCATGAATAAATCCTATATTTTATCATAAAAATAAGAGTTCAGTTTCAGGACGGCGGTTAGCCGCCACATTGTCACATTTATTTTAATAGAATGGGGGGGGTATTGTGATAACTTATTTTGAAGTTTCTTCACAACTCTAGAATATAAAATCATATTCTTTCTAAATTGCGGATTTGACAGGCTGTTAAACTTGAGCGTTCTTGTATAATAAATCGCGTATAGCTCAACAACTGATCATCAAAACGTTAGAGTATCTTATAGTATATCCTTCTCTTTGAAGGGTCTATCTCAGTGGACAATAACATGAGAAATTAATTTGACTTGCAAGGGAAGAATATTGATATAGCGCATACTATAGCCTTTTGATGATAGGTTGTAGAGTTATGTGTCATTGAAATTTTTAACTGACGCTTTTACCCTAAAATATAGCATTTATGCAGCAATTTCATTACCCCCAATTTCAACTTGCCTTTTTGACCCGTTCTTAAAAATAGTTAAAGGGGAGCATTCTTGAATAGCACTGTATCTATATCATTCGTAAATTATTTTTTTATACTTTACTACTCCCTAAACGAATTAGAAACTGAAATCTCGGTAAGACTCTAGTTTTTATTATTGTTAACCCGATTTTTGAACTGCCTAAGGTTAGTAGAACTGGGAAAAGCCTTCTCATATAGATTGTTCCATAATCTCGATATCCTAGGGAGAAAGGAGTGGTCGAATCGGCCAGTTCTGGATGTACGAAGTTCGACACGGTTAGGATGTCAGGCGGGTCTGTCTGGCAGGCACATCGTGCAGCGGCATCATGAACGAGAGCTGTGAGGAGCAAAGCCCCCAGGCGTAGCGGTAGAAGAGAGTTAAATCGCCGGTGCGAAAGGGCCCCGAGATTGTCCGTTAGAGAATCGAGCATGGATAATGTAGTCAGGGCGGCAGCACCCCAAATATGTGACCAGTACTCGAGGCTAGGTCTTACCTGGGCCTTGTACAGAGTGAGGAGGTTATATGGAGAAAAGCACTTTTTAGCCCTACACAAATATTATAGTTTTTTCCCAGTAGCTGCCGCTATTGACGAGATGAGTTCGTGCCAGATCAAGACCTCGGTAATCTGGACTCCGACCAACCGAAATGAACGGATCTTTGGAAGAACTCGGCCATCCGGATCAGCGCTAGGACGCGTCTTGGTGGCTAAGTTACAGTACTGAAAGTCAACTTACGGTACTGAGAGCAAGTTTCAGTACTGAGTTTGAAATCTTTAAGAAATTATGACCTCTCAAGGAAACAAATCATTCGAAAAACATTCAAAAGCACTTTATGCATTCATTGACATTGCTTCGTCGTTGCAGAAATCATGAACATCTTTTACGTCCCACGGCAATCGGCGAGGATTATTGTAATCGCGAAATATTTCGAAAATTCGAGATTATGTTCTTTGGATGTTATATGACATGTGACGTACATCACTAAGCCATGTCACTTATTTACATCGGCCTGTCTGTCCGGTAAATCATTGGTCCCGCTAAAACCAAGCACCGCTCGAATTTTGATGAAATTTTTATTATACCTGTGACGAAAAAAGGTATGTTTTTGAAAGTATGTAGGATGTGTTATAGCTCAATTCAAACACTTTGAATTGTCTGTGGGACAAGTGAAAACTGAGTGAATCTACTTAACACAATCCCACGCCAACTGGAGAGAAAGCATTGTAGTCCTCAAAAAATCGATATACGTTCCTTCGTTTTTTTTTTTTAGTTTCTGATGATAATTGGGCACGGTAAATTTGTTTCAAAAGGTCAAGATATTTGAAAATTCGAAAACTCGTTTTTCGGCGTTTTCCAAGTTTCTTGCCTTCGTTAGGGCTATTTTTGGATAGATGAAAGCTTTCATAGACACTCTCAGGCAGAAAACTTCGGCGGCATTGCCCTATTGGCATTTCCTGCACGAAGTTTGAGATTTCAAGGAAGCGGCATAAACACTAAAACCATCGATTAAAGTATTCTACCTGAAGATACCCAGACTAATGCTATATTCCAATATGTTTCATTACATTTTCTAGGATTATGAAAAATGATACACTGAAATCCCTCATACTTGGGCAAAGAGATAGATGTTTTGAAGCTGTATCATTTGCTTCAACTTTGGCGATTTCTAAATTCGATTACGTGAACCCATGCATGGAGATACTGTCTATGCTTTTGAAGATTCCAGCTTCCTTGAGTACCGTAGCTGTGAAATCAACCATTGAGGTTTTTCAGTCATTCAAGAAAATGAATCTTCTTAGAGAATTGACAACAATTTGTTGTCTAGTATGTGAAAGGTAAACTAAACGTTATCCTATCAGGTATTTCGGGTTTTTGTATTTAAATAAAACCATTAATTTTGGAAAAAATAACATGAACATTATAGGAATGTACCTGGTTCTCAGTCTGTACCCAATAATCAGTCTGAACGCAAGACATGCAAGTCAAAGGATGGGGAATATCCATGATGCATGTGATTCAAATATCGATTACTTGAGCGCTATAAAATTACAAATATTAATTTAAAAATGGGAAAAATTCGTGTTGAATCTAAAATGTCGAAACGCAACACTATTAGCCGATCAGCTAACCTTTAGTTGATTGGTCAGTCCAATTTAAAATGTTTCCACTGCCACTGATTGTCAATCAGTGCTTTTCAGTGTAATTACTAGTAATCAACATAACCTATAAACACGTTGTGTTCTTACAAACATTGTAGGTATACCCTATTTCACTAGTATCCATCACGGTAGAATGACAGCTGATTATCTAGCAATATCTGAAAATTCCCTATATCGGCATAGGACACATAATTCTGACGAATCCGTCAACGCCAGGTTCGCAGAACCGAATTTTGTTTTTGTTTTTTTGTACGCTACAGATTCATTTTGTATTTGTTAACAGCTCTTTTATTCAGGAAAGTTCATTTGCATACAAAAAACAAAACGCCCCAAAAATTTCTACTAGATTTATACCCGATCCATTATTGCCAACGTTGCACACTAACACAAAAATGTCACTTGCTGATCAGCTTTTCACCTCAGTAGAACGTCAAAGCGTGATGGATACTCGTGAAATAGGGTAGTATATGTCAAAAACTCGCAACCTACAAATCGTTAAACAATAAACTCATAAATCAACTTGAAGTAATACAAAAACAAATATTGAAAATAATATATAACCTACCAAAACATATCCGTCTGATGGAGAGAAAGTCACAAAGAGACAACTCTGTTTATATAGCATTACTATACAATAGACAAAAAATCATTGAGCTATGTTACTCATACTTATCAAACGAGAAACAGAAAAGACTTGGCGAGAGTACCGATACTAAAAAAAC